TTGGCAAAGGATTTCAATGTAATTGTAATTTAGCATATTGCAAAATTCTGAAGGCATTTTTGCTTGAATCGGAATTCAGAGCTTGCTCCAGGTTATTCTTCCTTTTCATGTTCACCTTCTTTTGCTTTTACTTCTTCATAATATTTTTGCCTGCTATTTGTTAGGTACAGCACATGCTACCCTCACTCTTTCATCTATTTAACCTTGTTTCTTTGCTCTTTTTTTGGCCCTACCTATTAGATCCTTTAGCTTAATCATCCATGTCTGCTTCTCCTAGATTGTTTCCCTAAGAACTCTGTAAGCCACAAAGTGAAACTGATTCAGATTTTACAGCCTTGGTGATTTTCCTTCTGGTGTACTCCCAAGAAAATGCTATAGCACATGGAGCTGATGAATCGTTTTGTAGGGCTTTCGCTTTCTATTTAGTATTGGAAAGATCACGTATCATGGCGAACATGGAACTGTCTCCTGATATCATGAGGATAATACAACCATCAAATAAAATCATCAGTGTTAGCTTTGGTCTCTGATAAATGTAATATATTGTGATTTTTAGCAAATTGAGTTCCCCAGAGAACATTCATTCATGTAAAATTTCACTTCTGTAAATTTTCATTGCTTGTACTGGAAGCTGACTAAAATTAACTTGGCACCTGCTGCTCTGTGTCTGGCGTTGTCCTGGGGGCCTTACACCTGTTAAGCCATTAAATCATCACAGCAGGCTTGTGAGGTAGGTCTGGAGTCTCCCATTTTACTGAAAAGAGATTGAAGCTTAGTGTGTTGCAGTAACTTTTCTTATGCCAACCAGCTCGTAAGGCTCAGAGCTGGAATTTGTCTCCTGTTTGTTTTATTCTGACTACAGCAGGCTCCCTCATTCGAGATAGATATGAGAATATATTAAGGCTTCATTTTGGATTTAGACATTGATTTGGATGAAAAATGAAGCCAACTGCTGTTGGTTGAGATGGTTGACTGTTGGGAATTAATTCAGCATAGTGCTGAGTATAATCCCTGGCCAGGGCCCAGGCTTCTGTCACATAGTACTGCCAGATGAAGGGTTGCCTTGATCATCACTCATTTCATTTCTCCATAATACAGTTCCACTGTATAAAGGAGTGAATTGTGGGAAGATCAACTCATGTGGGGTCATAGTGTATATTTCCCCTGGCTTGTTTGAGGCACCTCTGGCGTGGTTATTGTATCTTCTAATTCTTGGCGTTTCATTCAGACTGTGATTCTCAAAGCGGGCTCTTGACTGGGGTCCAACATCTGCCATTTGTTCCTGCCTTCTCTTTGCCATTACGTACCTCCCCACTGATATTTGCTCATATTTCACTACTACAGTAGCTTCTTCATTTGATCTCTCTCTTCTTCAGTCGATCCTAAATATTGCCAGTCATACTAATTTTTTCAAAATACTAATTCTGCCTAAAATTCTATTGTGCTTCATACTCTGTGATTTCATTTATATAATATTCTTGAAATGGCAAAATTATAGAGATGGAGAACTGATTAGTGGCTGCCTGGGGTTAGGGTTGTTGGGGTGAGGGGAGACAGGTATGAGTCTAAACAGGATAGCATGAGGGAAATCTTTGAGTGCTCAGATAGTACTGTATCTTGATTTGTGGTAGTGGGTACATGATTGATGCAACTGTGATAGAATGACATAGAACTATACACAAACTTTACACTAATGTCAATTTCCTGGTTTTGAGATTGTACTATATAGGTATATAAGATGTAATCAATTAGAGGAAACTGGGTGAAAGATACATGAGATCTCTCTGTACTATCTTTGCAAGTTTCTACAAATCTATAATTATTTAAAAATTAATAACATAAAAAATACGATTATGTTTTAAAATGTTGAAGTTCCTTTGTCTGTCATATTCATTAAGTTTCATATTCTTTGTTTTCCTCTGAATTAATAGTTCAAAGTCATCTCCTGATTTTTTTCTCCCTAAATTTTCTTTGGCATTAACACAATGTTTGGCTTTTACCAGGTTACCCAAAAATGCTTCTTGAATTAATTGAACAATTGAATAAGCTTTATCAAAGAACAGTGTATCAAGACTTGGTTTCAGTATTTAACATCCTTATTTCCTACCCACCTGCGTGTTGTCTTTCTTGTCTCTGTCTTATTGACTAAGCAGCCTGCCAGGGACTTGACTGGTGGAGTTCTGGAGACTTGGGCTTGCCTGGGAGGGTTGCATTGCCTTGTGGCCAAGGAGCCCAGAGTCACAAATTCTAAATGGAGTGGCTTTTCGAAGACCTAAGACTAAGTGTCTTAAGGGCAAGATGAGCCAGGAAACCCAGGGTATGAACTATGGTGAACCCTGACCATCCAGCCATTCAGATCTATAATAGTTTTATAGCCCAGTATAAGATCTTTCTGGGTGAATATACCAGGTGTACTCGAAAAGAAAAGGATATTCTGAAGTTGTAATTTTCTATGAAAATCAACTTCAGATCTTTGATGTCTTTAATGATTTTTGTTTTTTTCGTTTGTTCTGTTAATTACTCAAACTATGATTGTAGAGTTGTCTTATTTCTCCTTCTAATTCTGTCAGGTTTTGCTTCATGTATTTTGAAGCTCTGTTATTAGGTACATACACATTTATGATTGTTGTGCCTTTATTCTGATGAATCGACCCTTTTATCATTATAAATGATTTCTGCGTATCTTTGAAGTCTTTGTTATTAACTTAAACACTTCAGTCTTCTTATGCTTACTGTTTGTGTGGTGTATCTTTTCCAACCTTTCAGTCTATCTGTGTCTGTATATTTAATGTGGATCTCTTAAAGATGACATAGAATTGGATCTTGCTTTTTATTCATTCTGGCCATCTGTGCCTTTTATTCAGTGTGTTTAGTCCATTAGCATTTAATGTAATTCTTGATATACTTTGATTCAAGCCCCATTTACTATTTGTTTTCTCTTTGTCCCTTCTGTTTTTTGTTTGTGTATTCCTTCCTTCTTTTGGATTAAATGTTCCAAAATAATTTTAGAATTCCTCTTTATCTAGTGGCTTTTTAGCTTTTTTCATGATTACTCTAGAGATTCAATATATATCCTTAACTTTTCTTATAGTTATTATTTAGGGTTAATATTCTACCTTGCACATAAGATGTAAGGACTTTGAAACTATATATGATCTTTTAACCTCTCCCTAACATTGCGCTATAATTGTCATACGTATTACGTTTACATATGTTATAAATCCCACAATGAAGGGTTAGAATTTTTTACTTTAAACAGTCATGTATTTTAAAGATATTAAGAGAAAAAATAGTCTTTTATATTTATGATTTCTGGTGTTCTTCATTCCTTCTGGATATTTGACTTTCTGATGTAGTTCAGCCTGGAGAACTTTGGAAATTCATGTACTTCAGGTCTGTTAGGGACAGATTTCCGCAGTTTTCTCTCATCTGGAAGTTTCTTTATTTGCTTTCATCTTTCATGCATATATGGCCTGGATATAGAATTCTGGGTTCACTGTTGTTCTCTCTGCCACCTTCCCACCCAGCTCTGTACTGTTCTGTTGTCCTCTGTCCTCCGTAGTTTCTTATGAAAACTCAGCATTGATTCTTATCGTTTCCCTGTACATAATGTGCCATTTTTTTCTCTGACTTCTTTTAAAATTTTTTATTATATTTGGTTTTCAACACTTTGGCTATGTGTACCTGGGTGTAGTTTTCTTTGTGAATTTTCTGAGCTTTTTCAGTCTGCACGTCTATGTCTTTTACCCAAATTGGGAAATCTTCCTCTCATATTTGTCTTTTTCTGCATTGTTCTCTCTTCGCCTTCTAAAACTCTAATTGTATAAAATGTTTGCTCTTTTGCTAGTGTCCCACAACACCTGATAATTTGTTTTTGTTTTTTTCTCTCTTTTTCACATTGGATTTTCCATTACATCCTTAAGCATACTTACAGTAACTGTTATAACATCATTGTGGGCTAATTCCAACACTTGGATCAAATTTTCTCTTGAATATAGATTAGACTTTCCGATTTGTTCATATGTCAAGTAATTTGGATTGTATTGGACTCACTTTGTGAATGAGACTTTGCATAGACTATATTTAGTATGTTCCTTCAAAGGATTTTTTGGTCATAACAGGGAGTTAATTTGGCTACACTTAAACTAAATTTTGACTTTTCTGTGACAAGTGCCAGCTCCACTTATCCATTCAAAAGTTAATATTGAATATGTACTGTGTGTCATGCACTAAAATAGGTGACTGTGCTAAAAATACCAGTAGACATGGACCCTAACCCCAAGAGACTTGCAGTGTAGTTGATGGAGATAAGAAAGTGAACAAAAAAGTATGATAAATTCCCATATGTCGTAAGTATGTAGAGGGAGTAAGGTTACTGAGAAAGGAGTTGTGAAACTCTTAAAATGCAATTGAAAAATTATTTCTGAAACAACTCAATCCTTCTGAAACAGGAGGTAGTTTATTTGTTATATATGATGATGATAAAAGATTGGCTGGTGAATAACTATTAGTTACACTGTCATCATTTTGTTAATTCTTTGAAGAAAAGGATGTGTTTCAAAATCACAGCATATTGTGGGCAAGCAATATTAAAAATAAATGTTTAAATTCTTGACTGCCATACTAAACAAGAGGAATACTTTATTTTTGGTGAGAAAAGATGATTTGATAATATCTGAGCAAACACAAATTATCATAAATTAGTAAATATTAGACATTGCTGAGATAAAAAGACTTCTTTATACTAAAAAAAAGTATCACTATTGGGAGAAAAATATTTCAAAAATGATTTACACTCATGGAAAATATATCTTAAAAATCTGTAAGTTTCCTATGTCAAATATTAAGAGGTTTTCTAATCCATTTTGGATGCTATCTGTTTATAGTTATATCTGTTATAAATGAATGGGTAACATGGCGTTGGTTTTTATTTTGTAAAAGGGTATCTACCCAAGCAATAACTTGAGGTTTTCTTTTCTCTTTTTTTCCTCTTTTAACAGTGTATCCTATTCAGTGCATGTATCTGAAGATTACCCAGGTATGCTTTTCTTCTTTTGATTTTTATTACAAATTTTGACTTCATGATTCCATGAATATTTATTTCTTCTGGAGATGTAAAATGTATATAAATATATCTAGGGGCGAAGCGTTGGCAGGGAAAGACTTAAAGATCTAGAAGAATTCTGTTGATTGCCTGTGAGATACATGTCTTCCCCTGAGATGCAGTCCAGAATCAAAATGGTTTTGCAATGAAAAGTCGTTTACATGAGCCAACATGACAGCTTCAACCTGTATGTTTACATCGTTACAATGAAAATAAAGATTCTCTAAATGGTTTAGTTGTTGGTTTTGGAATATCATTTGGCTTTTCATAATGTCACAGTAAGAGGTAAAAATAACATCTAAAATAATAGCTAAAAATAATAGTAATAGCTAAAAATAATAGGCCTTTCTTCCTTTCTCTCAGTATACATGTAATTAAATAACTCTCACAACAATCCTATGAGATTGTTACCATAATATCCCCATTTTACAGATGAATGGTGGCACTGCTAATAAGAGGAAGAGCTGGGACTTGAACCCAGTAGTCTGGAGCCTGTGGACTGTGCCACTGGACTGGACTGGGCATCCTGCATACACGCAGCTGTCCTTAGTGCGTGTCCTGAAACGTGTTACCAGGGCCGCACACTCTTGTCCGTGGAAAACAGAATGTGAAATCGCTGCAGGTCCATTTTTCTGTAACTTACACAAGTCCTTTCTCCTAGGCCGTCATCTTACTCTCCAGACTCACTGTAACGTCATCGGATGTGTATGCCAACATTTGAGTCATGATAATTTGAAGATATAAACAAGATGTTTCTTTTTGGCATTTTTCTTACAAATGATATCTATAATTTTATCTTGAATAAGAGCATAAGCACTGGAGACTTAGTGAAAATCAAATATGACTTGATTAGTTTACCCCAGAGAAAAGAGAGTATAATGCAAAAATCTACTGTTTATTGTATTCTGTGGCAAAGAATAGCACATTTTAACTGCCTGTATTTCACGTCTATGTGTGTTTTCTACTCCAGTATTCTTAATAACATCAGATGGTTATCAAACTAACTGTTGTGATCTATCAGGGTCAGAAATTGAAATCCTAATTCCAATTCCTATTCAAATGTAGCTATTTTATTCACATGCTCTGCATGCTTGGGGTGATATTTTTCTGTGTAAAATGACTAGATTACTATAAGTAACTTTGATTATATATACTTTGAGTGTTTTTTAAATAGTTAGTTCATAATTTGGTATGAGGATATTGTAAAGCTTATTTATGTAGCATTTAAGCTAAGTATTTCCTGTGGTAGTTTGCATTATGCATTTAGTCTTTTTATAAGATCAAATGTACATTTTAAAATAATTTTGTAAATCATAATCTCCCTTATAGTTATTTTGCTCTGATCTCCATATATTTTAAGCATAGTATTCTATGAAGCTACTATAAAATTAAATAAGGAGAGTTATTCATTATTAAAGATAATTAAAAGATAAATTTCTTTTGGTAAGGAAGATTGGCCCTGAGCTAATATCTGTTGCCAGTCTTCTTCCTTTTGCTTGAGGAAAAATGTCCCTGAGCTAATATCTGTTCCAATCCTCCTCCTTTTGCTTGAGGAAGATTGTCCCTGAGCCAACATCTTTGCCAATCCGTCTCCACTTTGCATGTGGGAAGCTGCCACAGCATGGCTTGATGAGCAGTGTGTAGGTCTGCACTGGAGATCCAGACCTGTGAACCCTGGGCTGCTGAAGTGGAAGCACGTGAACTTAACCACTATGCCACCAGGCTGGCCCCAAGATATGCTTATTTTTAATAGTAGTATAAAAAGGATTCTAGGCAGATTTTATTGGAAGAACCAAGACAAGAAATATTTATAAAGAAAAGTAGTTTTGGTAGATGGTTTTGCAATCATCTCTTCCTTATTTTGGTATAGTATGTTTTAGATGCAGAATGTTCGCTTTGTGTGTTAGGAAAATAAAAGCACCGCTATTTATTGTAGATACTATAATTATTGTACTTCTAATCTGAGGCAGCTCCTAGAGATGTCAACCATGAGAGGTGCAGGACTTTCAGTCAAGGTGATAGAAATAATGCCACAATTAAAGCCCAACTTGAAGACAGTAAGCGAATTATTCTGTAGCACAGGCATATGGTCGAAGATGCCTTCAGAAACCAAGTGAACCAAATGTTCAGCTCCCTCTTGTGGCCAAGAGGTATTACTCTGTTCTTCTCTTGCCATATATGAGCCCCACTTGCAAATACAATGTACAAATATGGAAATTTAAAAATAAAGCATTGGTTATCATTTGTGCTTTTAAAAATTGAATTCCCTTCTTGGAGTAAGTTTGTAGTGAATTTCCAACATAATTCGTTTCTAAAAAGAAAGGGAGTGTAAATAAAATTCAAGGATGAGAGAGAGAGATTAGTGCATTCTGAGGTAGAATTTTGAATTGGTTGATACAACCAGTACACTGTATGCCAAGTATTTTCATATAAATAACTGAATTGATTCTAAATGCAGTCTGTGTATAGACAGAACAGGGGCTATCATGACATTTTATACTTGAAGAAATGTCCTGAGAGAGGTTAAATAATATTTCCCAAGGACATGTGATTTGGTGGTCAAACCAAGTCTCTAATTCAGTTCTGATTCCTATCACTTCTGGGGAAAAAGTAGTAGTAGTATTTTTATGGAGCCTTCTTTGAAGTGAATATTACTATGATAATGTTTTCCCCGTTATTAAATTTTAATCTACATGTGTTTGTATTAAGTTCGGTTAATACCCTTGACTTCTCACATAGACAAATTTATGTAAAAATTATATATTTTCTATTCCTTTCCAGTATTCATACCTGTGATCTTGTTTCCCATTGGCTAGAACTTCCAGAATAATTTTTAATGATAGATATGAAAGTTAGCAGTGTTGTCCCTTTTCTTAAAATTAGTGAGCATGCTTCAGATTGCTTTCAGAAAAGGAAGTATCATTCCTTTTCTCACGTACCAGGTTTTTTGGGGTTTTTTTAAGCATGAGTATTAAGTCTATGAAATTCTATTTGACATCTATTGGGACATCATATATGCTTTCTCCTTTGAACAACAAGGTGACACATTAGCAGATATCTTAATGTTGATCTCTTAAGAATTATGATGGGTTTTGTCATATACTCTGTTATTCAAGACTTGAAATTGCTAAAGGAATTAAACTGTTCTTTGGCACTTGATAGAACTTGCAAGTAAATCTATCTGAGCCTAGTATCTTTTTAGGGATGGTTCTGGGGCAACTGTCGTATTTTCTGCCATGATTATTGATCTGTTCTGTTTTTCTATTTCTTAGTCATTTTGTATCATGCACTCTTCTTGAAAATCTACTCTATTGATGAAATGCCCAATTTTTTTAGCAAAAAGTTTTTTATAGTACTCGCTATAAATCTGAAAATCTTCTACATCTCTGTAGTCATTTCTTTTTTCTCCTTTGTATTGTTTTATATTTGTTCTTGTCTTTTTCCCCCTTTGATTTTTCTTCCAAAATCATTGCCTATTTTATTTTTCTTTCTTTCTTTCTTTCTTTCTTTCTTTATTGTTAGGAAGATTAGCCCTGAGCTAATTACTGCCAGTCCTCCTCTTTTTGCTGAGGAAGACTGGCCCTGAGCTAACATCCGTGCCCATCTTCCTCTGCTTTATATGTGGGACGCCTACCACAGCATGGTGTGCCAAGCGGTGCCATGTCCGCACCTGGGATCTGAACCAGCAAAGCCCGGGCCACTGAGAAGCGGAACGTGGGAACTTAACCGCTGCGCCACCGGGCCGGCCCCTCATTGCCTATTTTAAAAATTCTTTCAGACACTAAGTCTGTTTTATGTTCTTTTTAATTTCTAAATGCAGTAATCTTGATAGTACTTTTATTAATTCCTTCTGCTAATGTTCCTCAGGCTTTTTTTTTTTTTTTTTAAAGATTTTATTTTTTTCTTTTTCTCCCCAAAGCCCCCCGGTACATAGTTGTGTATTCTTCGTTGTGGGTCCTTCTAGTTGTGGCATGTGGGATGCCGCCTCAGCGTGGTCTGATGAGCAGTGCCATGTCCGCGCCCAGGATTCGAACCAACGAAACACTGGGCCACCTGCATCGGAGCGCGCGAACTTAACCACTCGGCCACGGGGCCAGCCCCCCCTCAGGCTTTTTTTTTTTCTTGTCTGCTTTTCCTGGATTATATGGTTCAATGATTAGCTCATGATATAAATTTGAAAATAAGGAATTTTCTTTGCCCGGGTGGAAATGTATCAGCGTAATCCTCCAAATTCAGGATTATGTCACCTGGTTTGTTTCCTTAGGAACAGATTTGTCATTTTATAATCTTAATCTCTTAAGTAACCTGTGCCAGGTATTAGCACTCATTTCATAGGTTTTTTTTTGTGAAAATGGAAATTTAGAGGTTGTTTATTGAGTTTTAGGGATACAAAATAACATGCGTATAAATGAAATACTAAATCTATGTTGGCTTTTCAAAATAAAGTGAAGAAATGAGCAGCCTTCTGGTTTACTTGTACTCCTTTATGGAGTATATACTGTAGACAATTATTTGTTTTTTAAAGGTATGTTACAAGTCGCAGATAATTGGCTCTGCTGTAACAGAACAGCAGAGTTCCTTCTCATCACTTCCCACCTTTAATTTGGAGGCTTACCTCCTGGGGGGTGTGAATTCTCTCATCCCTTTTAATGTGTTTTACAAGATATTGCAATTGTTGAGTGACAATTTTTTGATATTAGAAACAACATAGGAACACATTGATTTTTGGATTCGGACAGTTTCACCACTTACTAGCTGTGTGTAATTACTTTAATTACTTAAATAATTTGGGCAAATTACTAAATTTCTGTGAGCCTTGGTTTACTTACTCATCTTTAAAATAGGGATAATAATTGATAGGCTTGGGGATTGACATGGACGTTATATATAACATCAGGGAAGATATCCAGATTATATTTTAAAACCAGTATAATTATTATTTATAATTATAATTATTTCTCTTAAGTTACATAGTAGTGAGGAATGGAATGACTTGGCTTAAATCATCTTACATTTGAAATAGAATAAAAGCAATAGTTTAAGAGATGCTTTCCCATAACACTCTACTTATCTCTCCCTGATTGTCCACGGAAGTTCTGGTCATGCTTGCATAGTCTGGTAGGGAAGGGAAGAGAAAATATTCATACTGTTAACATCCTTTAGCAAAGATCTGTATGTAGGTCCTCTGCAAAACATAAATGTTAAAGAATAACTGTCCCCAGTAGTTTCAAGAAAAAAATTGGCAGCTCTAGAGTCAAGTGAGAGAATTTCAGTGAAGGAATTGGAGTTTGAAAACATTCTTTTCTGTCACTGACTCAGTCTGTTACCTTAAACTCATTCCTTACGCTTTTTATGTCCTATTTTCCCGTGTCTAAACAAAGATGATGTTATAATTACAGATGTCAACATCTTTTTGAGGAAGATTTGGACATAATTATTTACACAACAACAAAAAAAGGAAAACATAGAATCCAGTCATCCTGCTGGGATGATCGTCAAAGATCGTCAGCAAACCTCTTCATTTTTGTAACTAAGCAGACCGTGGCTTAGGTTAAAAGGGATCAACAGCTGGTTGGTAGCAGGGTCTAGATTTGACTTTCTTTGTCTGCTTTCCTACATTTCTGTTCTTGACTTGGGTATACCTCTGTGATCTGGCCTATTATGTAGTAATAGTGATTTGATAGATGTTGTCATGAAACCTGAAAACAGGTTTGGATAAATTAAGCCAAAACCGGAAATTAAAAGTGTTCTGGTGCTGAAGTACTAATCGAAACGCAAACTGGTAGAAAATATCTTAGAAAATGATATGTCTGAATGCATAATCCTTTCTTTTAGTTTTATACAACATGTATTCCACCAAATTATATTCTCTTAAATCAAATCTCACTGCCTTCCAGTGTTAACACTTTACATAAAACATGTGATGCTTTAAATTGAGTTATTCATTTCCCAGTTTTCCTAAACAGAAAGTCCTAATTTAGTTGTCTCTTGAAGCTTTAGTAAAATCTCCTCGTTCCATAACACTGAGATATTGCATGATACAGTGTCCGCTTTATGGATTTTTCTGGATCGCCCCTTCTAGTCAGTGGTCAGCTATTACTTCTGTTACTGTAATGCTCCCTTTTAATTCTCTCTTCCTCCATAAGTTTGCTTCAAGGTATCCACTGTGCACGGTGAAAATCTGATTAAGTTGATCCAGTAGCAAATAACTTTGAATCAGTGAGACTCTGAATGAGGGTTTAAGAAATGTAAAAACTGGCTTTAGTAGAGGAGTTTTTGATTCTTACCTGGACGTACGAGGGGACTGACAGGAGAGATGCTGGATAAGCAGTCGAAATATCAACTAATATGATGAGACAATAATTAAAATAAATTTATATTAAATCTCTTTCTTAATCTGTGGTCTGACTTGATGTGCACAAAACTCTCATGCCTTCCTTGATGCTGCTTGAAAACAAAATGCGGAAAAAAGTAGTAATTAAAACAAAGCGAGGTGATGAGGCAAACCTGCTTTGTTTCAAATCGAATCCACTCCCATCTCTTTCACCTTCCTGAATAATATTGAAGCCTTATGTCTATTGAGAGTCTTTTGTGGCTATGCAGTGAATACATATCACTATCCTTCACTCACTACTCACGGTCTAAAAACAGCACGGATGTTTCTTTGTTAGTAAAGTAATGACTTAGCTATCTATCAATTGAAAATCATGTTCTCACTGCACTGACACAATATTATGAAAGCTTGGCTCAAGATCTTTTATCATATATTCAGTCAATCATCTGAACACTCATTTCCCTTAGCAGAAATTGATAAAGGCTTCAATTATTTTATAGGAGAGAATAGTGTGCACTTTTATATTTATATTTTATATATTATTGACGAGTATATTTTAGGACCATTGTTAATGAATTGGTGAAATGTTTGTTTAATAGTGCTCTCACAGATGCCCTGTAGTTATCAATGAGCAAAGTAGAATAAACAGCTGTGTGTTGTATTCTATTACCATATACTTGGAGATCAGTATTTATCAGGGAAAAATCCTAAATTTATAAAAATATTATTTTTTTCCAGAGGAAACAAATAATGAATAAGAAACTTAAAGAATCTATGGATTAATTTAATGTTCTATGCATTCAACTTGTTTAATATTATTTAGATAAAATTCGTTCATGAAAGAATAATAATTGTGAGACATATTGATTTAAAAATATATATCAGAGTAATATGGGAGGTATGATTTACAACAAAAGCTTTAGCTCACACTCCTTAAGGACATGGTACTGAATCTTTATTGTTTCATCAACTGTTGTTGATAAGCCTTCTCTGTCACTCGCTAAGCCTGCTCCCTGTAGTTGACATTGATATTGGGAAGGACCCTGTTCAGTGAGCTGGAGCAAACAGTTGCATCCAAATGATCCATTGCCCCGTGGGATATCAGAGATGTATTTGGATAGTCTCCATCCAAAGTCGGTATTTCTCTAGCAGGTGCCAGCATCTTTAAAGGGGCCATTTACAATGAATTCACACATAAATCTGCAATTTACTTTTTTTCCTGAGATTAATCAAGACAGTAGTGTGTGCTTCATGAGAGTTGGAAGTGATGTGATATTACTTTATTTTTTTTAATAAAGGATGTATTTTTTCAAGTTACTATGCCTTTAGTTGTCCATATTCCTTTGCAGATAATACATATGTGTCAAGTTCAGAAAATGATGAAGATGTATTAGTTACTACAGAGCCAATTCCAGTAATTTTTCATCGAATAGCAACAGGTAATAGGAATGCATTGTTTTTTTATTCTAGGTTAATATTTTCTTGATTGTAGGTAGCTTTATTTTTTGTTTCTTTTAGCCCATATAACAGATATTTAACTTTAGTATCTATAAATATGATTCTCCATACACATTTTCTATCTAAAGTTCATTAGTTTGTTTTGCAACAGTTTTTTTAAAATGCATAAATTTACGGTACTTTTAAAAGTCTTGTTTAAATGTTTTATGTTGATATTTGGTCTTGTGAAAATATTCCCATGCATAATGACATTGCCAAACAAACTGAATATTTAGAAAGCAAACTTAAGGCGATGTAGGTCCCACGAAATATATAATGAGATCTGAAGCAAGCCATAGAGTGGCACTTTAGTTTGACCATATTTTTATGGACAATTAAAAATCAGAATAGCTTGTATCGTATGTAACGCCCTAACATAATATAATTTTAAAATATGCCCGAATTCTCTTGCAAAGGAGAGAATCACCTAAGGGATGTTCTTATACTGAAAGTTATGAATATTTGGTAAAGAGTATACTGAAAACTAAAGTGATTTTTTTAATCATAACTTTCTTTCAGAATTAAGAAAGACAAATGACATTAACTGTTGCTTATCCATAAAGTCCAAATTACAGAAGGAAAATGGGGAGGTATGTAAATTAAAGTTTCTTTTTCTTCAAAACAGTATACATATGTTTTAAATCTACTGTGTATTTATGGTTAATATCATCATTGTTATTTAGGTTAAGATTGCATAGAGCGAATGGAGCTCAAGCTCATGGCTTAGAGACTTCGTGTGAGGGAAGGCTAGTTAACTCTGAGAAAGAAGCTCCCTTTAAAATAATAGAAAGAACAACGCGTGGTTTAAATCTCAATAAAGTGCCTACAAAACCTAACTTATTTTTTATATTTTCATCAAATAATATAGTTGACTGAGGAGCACTTGGGTAACATAGTTATAATAACTGTATGTGGCTATACATAGTTTTGATGAGACCCTTAAAATTCCATTTGTCAAAGATGATCTCCTTAGCTAAAGTAGCACAGAGCGTGGGTATAGTCTTGTTATTTTTGGCCAGTGTTAAAACAACACCACCAACACCAACACCAAACAAGCTCATCTTCTTTCCTTACCTTTAAAAAATTTGCTTGAGTCTATAAATAAATACTGGGACATTAAACAACAAAATGAGTGCAATGGGAACAACAATTCTTTGCTTTTAAAACTATGCACTCAGGAGCCGGCCTTGGTGGTCTATTGGTTGATTTCGCGCTCTCACCGCCACAGCCTGGGTTCGTTTCCCTGTCATGGAACCATGCCACCCCTCTGTCAGTTGTCAAACTGTGGCCGTGGCCCACATAGACAACTAAACTAACAACTGGGATATACAACATGGACTGAGGCTTTCAAAAAAGAAAACCAAAAAAACTGTGCTCAGTACAAGCCTCCCTTCCTTTTCACGTTGCCCCGTTCTAGTCTTCTTTATCTACCCTGAGAATCACTGATTTAGCAATACTGTTGCTAAAATCAAAAACTGTTAGCATTTTATAAAACCCCAATTCCCTTTTGTAGATTTTTTGGGTTTTTATAAGAATTTGAAATTTGGTCTAGAAATTTAGAGATGATTACAAACATTGGATTAATTGAACAGGGCCAGGGGTAGGAATACTACCTTTAGTTACTCTAGATGAAGTTTCATTATTTGCACTTGAGACACATAACAGATATGGTTCAGTTAATTAGAAACCCAAACTCCAAGTTCAAGCATACATAATTAAATATCCTTTTGAGATCTTAAATCTAAAACAAATAATTTCTGTATCCTGAAAGTTCTCTTCATGATGTGATTCATATTTATTTTCATAATTTTATTTTTATCTTATTGGCTTCGAAGTGTTTTTTCTTTTGTATCATTTTGTAGAGTTGGCAGTGGAAGTGAGAACATTCTGGGATAAGTAATGCTGAGGAACTTTTTAATAAAATATTGAATCAGTGTGAGCTTTCAAGATGTTTTGTCAGAACAAAACCAAAGTTTAATTGATTATACATAGTTTTGAATATACATCAAATATTAAATTGTACAACTCAAGATCAGTGAAATGGAACTTTTAGAAAAGATTTACATGGAGCTTGATGCACCCACAAAACTGTCTCTTACTACCTTTTGTTTTTGGCTTGTACTGCACCAAGACTTGTTCAGTGTCTTTATATAAAATCCACATGTTATGCACAAACCTACCTGATATGGCCACTTGCTACTTTCTTTTCAAAAGGAGGCAAACTAGTTTGACCGTTAAAATTGTCTTCCTACTCTACTTTAAGGAGTCAAGACAAAATAGTACAGTGGAAGAAGATTCTGAAGGTGATAATGATTCTGAAGAATTTTATTATGGAGGACAGGTAAGCACACCAGACCCCCCAAATATTCACTCTGCAGGTTAGCAATAGCCACACCTGTCCTAGGGGAACTCTATGCCGGTGATCTGAGACACCTATGTGGTGTTAAGCGTTCTGGAACTAACTAGGAAATCCATGTCATATTTATGTTTCTCATTTTCTATATATTTTCAGAAATTAAGTTTACTTTTGCAATTCTTTGACTGTAATCATTCATTTACATTGAAGTTGTCTTCGTTACAGAGGTTTTGCAGACAGCATTTTATTATGCTTTTGACTTTTACATTCCCTAAGCACATCGTGCTGTGTTTTGCAATGATGACACTTCCAACAAAAGCATGGATTGTTAGTTTTAAATAGAAGGTGATTAACCTTTATAAAAATTGATGGGCCCTAATTATTGAGCATCGTCATTGTTTGTATTCGTTGTCTTCCTTTTCCTCTGATACTAATGTAAAGTGTTTTCTGAAAAATTGTTATGAAGAAACATCATTATTTATATACATGAAAATGTCATAGCCACATATGCATATGTATAAAAGAATTCATTCTGTTTTTCCAGGGTAATATTACAATTTTAAATGGAGCAATTGATTTTAGGCTATGACTATATAAGGTGTCTTATTCTGTTTCTTAAACTTCTTGATCAAATATGCTTTGGAACTGGGATATTATAGGGAAGCTAATGTGTTAAAGAGGTGCTTTAAAGCCGAAGTTGTTATTATATAAAAGAATGCAAGTCAATTTATTCATTCAGAATCAAAAATCAGTAATTTGTCAGTCAAGCGTATGCTAGGCAGTAGAGAGACAGATGTAAATAAAACTAAGTTTCTTCTCTCCAGGAATGGTTTTCTCTCAATGAGATACTTTTCCTAATGATTCTTTAACCAATAGAATACTTCAGCATTATGCAAAATAAATTCTTCCCGCTTTGATTTTTGTTTATACAGCTAATTCTTACAGAGGGGAGTAAATGCTTGTCTTCAGTCTGGACCTTTTTCAGATTATCTGCCACACACTTATTTCGCTCCTTTTAACATTTACATTTTCTTCATATCGAAATAGTCTGATTTTACTTTTTGAATGTATTGAGTTAAGCTAGGTGTATGTGAACCTAAGAACTTTAGTGAACATACTGCTGAATTATTTGTATTTTTTAATGAAGGCGACCGAGAAAATGTCCATGGCTGAATACAGGGTGACCTGTCCGAGATACCGTATTTGATTCTTTTGGTTTGTGTTCACCCCTGAGTCGTTTCTAACGCATCCCTTTCCATCAGGTAAACTACGACGGGGAACTGCATAAGCACCCACAGCTCGAAGCTGATTTATCGGCCGTGAGGGACATCTACGGGCCACATGCAGTTTCTCTCAGGTAAATAAATGCCTTCAGTGAATAAAAATGAAAATTATTTGGTAAGCCATTGGGATTTTATATGGGAGTCAAGTGGAAATTTTCGTGGGCTTAGTTGTATTTGAAAGCGTTCGAGAGAGATTCTGTTTGTTTTATACAAAATGGCATATCTGTGACTATATAGGGGTTTTTTTTGCACGTGTGGTTTAAGATTACATTGACTGCCTTAAAGAAATTAGTTATTTTGGAGAGTTAGTTTGATAAAATGTCAGTCTTAAGTAGCATCGTAATCAATCCTATAGTAGATTTGGCTGGCTGGGCCCGTGCTCTGATTGTAAATCAAGGACACATCCGTGGGAACAATAAAAGTAAATAATGCCTAACCGCTGGTATCCAAAGCACATCTGGCTCCTTAAAAAATGAAAAGAAAAAAAAGACATACATTTGCACAGTGTTTGAATGATAATGTATTTAATTTTACAGTTACTTAATATATTATTCAGTGATAAATTTCCAGATGATTTTTTTATTATTCTTAATCCTTCAGAAGACCCCCACCATCCTTATTTACCTTTCTCTTCTCTCCTTAATTCAAGAAAAGCCTTTTTCTGCCACCCTACTAGTTTCCTTCCACACATCAGATCTGATTAGTTCAGATTCCTGCTCTTTGCCTCAAGGGGAGTCTCCAAGTCTCCATGGCGTTCCGGACCCCGTCACAGGCTGACCTCAGTTCCAGGCTTATCCACCCCAACCAGAATCGTTCCCGTTCTCCAGACAGGCTATATTCCGTCTTGACTTTGGGCATTTGCACAAGCAGCTCTCTTATCAAGGAACGTTTCCCTCATTGCTGTCTTTACTGAAGCCCCCGTCCAAAGATCAGGTTTTCTTGAGGCTTCTGTGAATCTCCATGCAGATGAGTTATTCTGCCCTCTGGACTCCCAGCACATTAGGCTCTCACCTCAGTTATTATACTTCTCATGTCTTGTCATGAGTGGTTTACTTCTCCCCGCTAGGCTGGGTTCTGTGCATGCTGGGGCAGCGTGCTTTTTTTCGTTGTTTATTTTAGTTTGGTTTCTAATCATGTTTGTGTTCTGGTACTTGGCATAGCACAGGGCATATATGAAATACAGGCTGGTAGATTCTTGATTGTTTTCAGTGGCAACATCCATGAAAGATTTTCACATTATCCAGTTACATTCTTTTCAGTGGACGTATTCAGATTTTGAGAGGGCAAACAAATACTTTTAGTTGGGAAGTACAACACAACTATAATTTATAATTGCCAAATGTTTCGTTTTAACTGCAGAAGCAGAAACTCACACCCACCTACAGCTTAAAGAAGCTGAAATTGTGTACCCAGACGCCCTCTCTCTCACTCAGGGAGTTACATTAGGCTACTGCTGAGTGAGAGTGATTGAGATTATACGGGGAAAAGTAAATCTTTGCAATTTTCAAAGTTTTAGTGAATTCGCTGCAGTCATTTCACAGTTGACCTCTGCTATGGCACCAGGGTAGGGAATATGGATATTCAGTAAGTGTTATAGAATGAATAAATGAAGAAGGCAATAGAGACTATCAATAAAGTCTAAAACTATGACTAATTCTTAAACTTTAGTCAAACTTTGCTTAAAAGCTTAAAACTTTAATCACGGTATTTTAACCCCCTCCTCCACTAAAAAGAAGTCTGTGGGATATATTTAATCTTACGATACAGCATAGAATTCACCTTCTTTTCATTTGAAATATGTATTTTTATTTAAAGGATTACCTTAGCACATGCTGATTGCTTTTATTGTTAAAGATTTATTTTAACACATATTTCCATGCTGTGTAGGCCCTAATTGTACTGTCATATGTATGAATTTGTTTTGTTTCTTCAGCAAGCATTTATTAAACACCTGTGATCATCTCTATTAGTATTTTCCATTATTAGTAAAATAATTGATAATTTATCAACTGTTGAAATTAGAAAAATATTTGGAATTTCGTTCAAGTGAACTATCTAAAATCATAGATGATTTTGGTTTTTTCCCCCTTGTCTATTTCACTTATAAGTTTCAATCCAATTTAAATCTTAATGAATGCAAGCCACATTCTTGCCTGCTCTAGATTTTCTCTGGCTATAGAGGATGTTTCCAGAATAAGTAACCTCCTGGAGGCCTCATGGTATAAAGGTGAATCACGGCAGGACTAGCTTGATTTACTTAAAATAAATAAGAATGAATTTACTGTCTGGTCTCAAATACTGAGGCCTGGACACATGGGAAAAGGAGTAGTTAGGCATAAGATCTTGCAATCATGTTCCTTGCAAAGTTCTAAGTCTATTGAAAACAGACTGTTCTAATTAGCTGTTCTTTTACTTAATTGAAGTTTATAAGAACTTAATGGAGTTTGAAGAGCAAAAGTACCTCAGTATGCATAATAGGCTATTTGGTGTCATTTTTTTTATGTGACATCTAATGGGAAAGGCAGCTAATAACCACATCTAAGTTCTCTGTAAGAGATGGAAATAACTGAGATTGCCTTGATTGAGGCAGTAGCCTCCTAAAGTAAGTGGAAGGAGGATGTAGAAAAGGTGACTGGTAGATTTATGACTTAAAGAGGTAATTTTAACTCTATGTGGCTGTTTCACCCCAAAGCACAGTACTGGCTGCGTTGAACCGTACTTGTAAACATTGATGACAGTTCTGATTCACGGCCTCTCATAGGAGAAGTGAGTTAGGTCTCTGGGGGAATGTGATTAACCTGCATCAGTCTGAGTATGTCTCATCTTGAATCATGCAACAAAATGAGGATACTTTATGTTTTTTATTATAAATTTTACTCCTGTAGTCATGGATTTATAAAAAAAATATTGATCAGTGCCATCTGAACACAATTTGAGCTTAATATTTTTAGAAAGGTAGGGAATTACAAGTCGCAAAATTCTTATTTGGTTAGGAATGAAATGATTCTGATAATTTGCTTGTGATGCTTCAAACTTCTATCCCATATCAAATATCCATTGCTTTATGATCATATCATCTTCCATTTTGAGAATTGAAGCCAGATGAGTAATACTCTAACCTTTTTATTATGACTAATGCTTAATGTAGGTTGGAACATGGCAAGATTGTGACTGTTCTGCATTTGTCACTTTTTGTGGATGGACGTTGGAAACAGGGACTTTGGGAGTTGACATTTTGGAGGACAGGATATGCTGAGGATTTTTTAAGGGTTGAGGAGGCTCTGCTACTCTATTCAGGCCTACCACCCAAGTGTGGATCTCCTAAAAGAAAAATAGAGAAAGGAAAGGAAAGGAAAGGAAAGGAAAAAGCCGCATAAACCAGGAATGGACCACTTTAATTTCTTTGGATATCTGGATTTCCTTTTCTTGTGGCCAGTAGGACTGCTTGCAAATCTTCTGGTGCTCTTCTAGCATATGGCAGGATTGTATTCCTCTGCCTCTTTTAATGTTAGGAATGGGCACACAACTAGTTTTGGCCTGTGAAATGGGAGCATAGGTGCTAATGTGTGAGTTTCCGTATCTCCTGGACTCCATCACTCTGGGCCCCTTAGTGACTACAATGAGCAACACTCCCTCTCCCCTCATTCTGTAGTAACCATGTCATGTGAGCCAGAGATAAATCCGTTTTTGGGTCAAACCACTGACATTTTGAGGATGTTTGTTACTATGACATAACTTACCCTACACTGAAGTATGTCAGTCATCAAAAGATGATCTTGGGTTGGGTGTTTAGAATGTGCTTTCCAGCATATTGATTCTCTCACCTCTGCCTCTAGAACCTAGGAAAGAAGCAGCCTGACTCTGAAAAGCAGGGGAAAGTGATGACAGGAGGCACATAGAAGAGAGAAACAAAGGGGAGAATATTTTCCAAAAACACTGGTGCATAATCTAGATGTAAGCTTCCGATGCTCAGATCCTGGACAGTCACCTCTACACCCAAAGCCTGTACTTTCTTCAAGCAAAACCAGGGATTTTTAAGCTGAGGGAAGAGTTGTAGCAACTGTTTATACTGTACCTCTTATGTACTATGATTGTATATGGGCTTACTTTCTTATCTGCATGTAATTTTTAAATTCTTCTCAGCCCTGTTGTCCTTTAAAGAAATATATAGCCACCTTGGATACAGTCTTGCAAATGCTTTAATCTGTCAAGATTTCTTCCCGACTGAGTTTGCATATTTCTTGGCCCATTCACAGATCTCTCTCCCACGCTGAGCAAAACACGCATCGAGTAGGCATGCAGAGATAGACATGCAAGCTGTCGAGTTTCAGATGTCATGCGAAGGTGTATGTTTCTTTACAAAATACATTTCTTCTTGAAATACAACTGACCAGTTGTTGCAGGTGGAAATAACTAAATAGCAATAGAGGTTTGTTTCTCAAGACCCTGTGGTAGAGTTTCATGTATGTGTGTGGATACTTACAATTTCGATGACAGTTAATAGGGAAGACTGGATATATGAAATATATTTTTATAACCAGTACCATCACTGCTGATTTGATCAGATAGTGTTATAAAACATCACAACAGTATAACAAATCAGCTGTAGTTTCATAGAGAAAGGAGGGCCAACATATATGGTCTAACATTTAATATATTGTGAGTATGTGTGTGGTGTCTTATTAATGAGATGTCTTGATTAGTTCCATTAAAAAAAGGAGAATGAATGACCACAATTGTAAGACATAATGCCCTCAAAAATGCATGTTCATTGAAAAAAATATTTCATATGTGTGTTCTGAAATGAACTAGGTCACATGTAAATATCCAAAAATCAAGTGCCCGGATTTCAGGATATGTCGATTCAAAGAGTAGCTCGCCTGGACGTGAAAGGGTCACTAGATGTCTGGAAAGAAATTTGTGGAGCAGTTCCTTTCAAACCCTCAGCTCCATAGTAAAACCCCTGCATCGGGATCATTTCTGTGTCTTTTCCCTTATCTTAAAAAAGTATTCAAGTTCAATTTGCTGTGATCTTCTCACAGTGGATAAATATAGGCAGTGCATGAAATTATTTTGAGTTATTATAAACCCGGTCCAGCGTTCAGGACATAATCAGATATCTAGCTGCACCATTCAAGTTGCATTCATATTTCAGGCCTTCGACTTGATTGTGCGTTTGCTATTCATGAGATCCGGGGTTACTGAAAGTTATTCAGAGATAGAAGCGGCCCTGATGACTGGGTCGCTGCATCTGGACCAACTGTAATCACGCTTTGTAATCTCGCAGTGGGAAACGTGAAATTACTGGCATTACAGAGAAAGGGCATCACAACGGAAATTGGTTTGCATATACACAGGGTTGTTGTGAATTCTTTGAAGTGTGACATAAAAACAAAAAGGGTAACTATTTACAGATCTACACCTGCAGAATCCAGTTAATTGCAAACCTTTAATGCCTCTGTCTTCTTAAAATTCAGTATTTGTGCTCTGCTGTGGCGCAGGAGCACTTGTAAGCCGTTCTTTCCTCTTTTTTTGAAAAAAATTGATAGTGTTAGATATTGGAAATATACTAACTTTTAGTCAAAAAAGTGTTGAATAAATCATACAAAAATACTTTAAAATTCACATATTAAAGGTTTTAAAAGAATATATGGCACATTCTGATCATAACTTTATGATGAAGTCTGTTGAAATGGTGTGGCAATCTGTTTATGAAGAAAGCAACTGTAGGTAAAGTCTTACTGATTTTTGTTGTCACTGATTTCTCTTTCTCGGCATCAAAACATACCAAAGTCTTCCCATTGTACATAAATCCAAACAAAACTTCTTCTCCCTTATGAAAATGGTAAAGATTGGAGAAAACAAATGCCTGGTGATGATGAGGATGTGGGAAGTGGTCACTGTGAACCTGACTGGTGTGATTATAGGTTGTTTTAACCTTTTTTTTTTTAATGGAAGTGTTTATTCCAAGTACTACTACTACCACTTCTTTTTTTTTTTTTTTTTTGAGGAAGATTGACCTGGGGCTAGCATTTGTTGCCAGTCTTCCTCTTTTCTTTTTTTCCTCCCCAAAGCCTCAGTACATAGTTGTACATCCTAGTTGTAGGTTCTTCGAGTTCTTCTGTGTGGGACACCACCTTAGCATGGCTTGATGCCCAGTGCTAGGTCCGAACCCAGGATCTGAACCTGCAAACCCTGAGCCACCAACAGAGCATGTGAACTTAACCACTTGGGCATGGGGCCAGCCCGTTTTAACCTTTAAAAATAGTAATCAAACAATATATATCCAGACTCCCAAATATAATTATATTATTTATTTCACTCAGTAATTCTAGAAATTATTCTATGAGAAGACAGATTTTTATCTAGAGGGCTATTTGTCAATTTTTATAGTGTAAAAAAAAAAATCAAAAGCAACCTAATGTTTTATTATTACAATTGTATTTATACAAATACAACCATTTAAATTTATGATTTTGAAGAATATTTTACAATATAAAAAAATGCTCATCATAGAAGAAATGAAAGAACAGGACAAAAATCTTTATATACTGTATTATCCTTACATCTATGAAAGAGACTGGAATGACATATAAGCCAAAAGAATTCTCTCTGAGTACGGGTATTACAAGTTGCTTTTTGTCGCTTTTCTATTTCTCACATTTTATATAAGTGCCTTTGTAATCAGAAAAAGTAAATGTTTTTAAAAATATATAACTTTTAATAAAATAAATTTTACTCACGATCTATAGTTAATATGTAAGTACTCTTCACTTTTTTGGTTTTCCTATTTTTATTTTATTTTTAAAAAGCATTTAATTTCTGTACTTTTTGGTTATCTACTTTCTCAGTAAATAGTGTATTTGGAACATTTACCTCAGGATATTAAATATTTTTATGTCAGCTTCTTTAGTAAAAGGTATTTTTTTTAAATCATGTCGTCATACTATAGTTTTAGTATATCCTTATCATTCAATATTCAGTTTTTTTCAGTTTCTGCTCTTACATTTATTCTACGTAAAGGCTTACATGTATTTGTTATAATTTTCTTGGGAATGGTTGCAGTCAAGTTCACCCCCCTGAAACTGCCCTTGAACATCATTAGTAATCTATCCTCATCATCGCATTTAGTGGCTCTTTCTTTTACATGCCTAACTATAGATATTTGACTTGTTGTATTTATGAATAATTTGCTCATGTTCAGGGTCAGCACATTATGACATCTGGGCCCTGGGCCTATTTTCGGACAGCGCATGAGCAACAAATAGTGTTTGTCTTTGTAAAGGGTTGTAAAAAGAAACAGAAATAAAGAGGCATATGTGACAGAGACTGTATGTAGCCTGACAAGCCTAAAATATTTACTATCTTGACCTTTGTAGGAAAAGTTTACTGAACCCTGAGGTTCATTTCTGGGAACTGTAAATGGTTCCTTTGCTTGGTCCTTATTCTTGTCATAGTGTCTGTCTAATTTCATAACTAAATTGGCATATTTTTGTATCTAAATTTGCATATCATGTCTAAATTTGCATAAAGTTACAAGGGTTCTTATCCTTTATGAATAACACAGAGGTTTTGATGCATGCAATTTAAAAAAATTAATTCCTATGTGAATAATTTTTATCCCTTTTCTTCTTTATATAACCTTTAAAAATATCACTATGAATGTTTAAAAAGTACAATTGCATAAATAATGAAAATGTAATCAGTGTTTTGATATATTTTTCAGGAGAGAATGGAGAAAGCACAGAGGCTGAGTTTTTATGTTCAAATGTGCTGGGTTTTTTTTGGTCATGGATATCAAAAAGCAAAAAAGACCCCCTAGGTTCCTTTATGCATCAAATTACAAAAATCATTTAATCATTAAAAATTTCTTCTCTGTATTCTATGAAAGTGCCCCGGTTTTGTACCATATAGTACTTACTATGTGCCAGATGCTGTCCTTGGCACAGATTTGAGGTTGGACGTGGATTCAATGCCTGGCTTCCCCACTGACTTATCTGCCCTTTAGCAACTTGTTTCACTTCCCTAAACCTTGGTTTCCTCGTTTGCAAATGTGGATAGTTATAGTATCGTCGTCATAAGGCTATGGTGAGGACCTAGTGAGATCATCCATTAATGTCTGACTGGGTTTCCAACACAAGGTGGTAGTTTATGGAATATTGAACTGATTAAGCACTTGCATAAATAAATTGGATAGCTGTGTTCCAATTCCGGCCCTGCTACAGGGTCCTGATGGGTGAGAGGCTTTACTCCTCTGGACCTCAGATAATGCACGTGTAAGTTGGAGATGGTAGTAGTACCTGTAGTGCACTGCGATCATACGTATGGAAAATCCTTGGAAGAATTTCTGGCACATAAATCCTCAATAAATATTGGCCCTTGACTTTTATCATTTCTGTTATCGCTATACTTTCTCCCTCACTATGTATAGCATTTGTAACTTCAGAATTTTATAGAAATATCAAAAATAGAGATGTATGTCTATGGAGGCTATAAAAACTATTGTTTTTATCATCTTTCGTTAACTTTAAAAAAAATAGGCTGGCTCGTGGCACTGCCTGGGTTGGAGAAAAGTTGGTCTTCATATGGAAGGTACAGTTGTTACTGTTTTGGTTTTGGCGTATCAGACTTTTAGAGCCGCCTGTCAAAACTCAGTGACATTTAAGTGACAAATCACCTGGATCAGTTTCAGAATCACTGATGTCTAACATGGAAGGAAAATTCATGGACATGTTATTGGCAGTATTGTGGCAGTAAATGATCCACCCCCCCGCCCGACCCTTTCCTAATGTCAGAAACCCCTTTCTTGCCCTTAGAAACAGCTCTTCATCCTCAGAGAGCCCAAAGAAAACAGAGCGTAAAATGGAGTGAAATGAGAAGATTGTTTAATTTGCCTCAGAGAACTAGGGATGTTTGAAACTATGAACCAAACAGTTCTTGAGTTTATGGATGCATATGCGTGTACGTAACGATAGAAAGATGCCAATATGGTATAAATAGGTCACAGAAGACGAGAATCGAACTAGATTGAGTCCATTAATTCATGTCCACAGTCATTTCTGAGCTGTCTGTGAAAATCAGGGATGACAATTAGTGATTGAATCTTTCATTTAACATAAGCTAGCACACACTATATTTTAAGGAAAATGAAAAAATTAATGTTAATCTTTGCTTTCAGGGAATATGGAGCTATTGATGATGTAGATATTGATCTGCACATTGATGTTAGCTTTCTTGATGTAAGTACTACTTTATGCAGTATGACTAGTGCATTTAAAAACATTTGTATTCTTGGAAGAAATTTAATTTTTGTTTCTCTTATAATGCTACTAGTAACACATTGACTTTGTCAATTTATGAAGAAATGCTATGACTGGTTGAAGAAGCAGAGATTTTATATATATTTTGTGTTGGTTCTTTTAATATATTTGAAACTTACAGGCTCTTATTATAGTACTTTATTTCTTTAAGTTTTCACTTTAGTTTTCATATGTAGAAGGCAAAAATTAAGAGTACTTTGGCTTTCTTTTCACAAACTGGTAGGTTTTGAGAGAATTTGTAGGCCTTAATGATTTATGCATTCCTTCAAAATAAGTTAAATTTTTCTTTTTATTTTGGAAAAAGTTAAGAACTTTAAAAGATGACTAATTCATCTTTTAAATGTATTTGCACAGGAGGAGATTGCTGTGGCTTGGGAAGTGATTCGAACAGAGCCTATAATTGTCCGACTACACTGTTCACTTACACAGTATTTAAATGGCCCAGGTTAGTTTTATTTCCGTATTTATTGTTTTGAATATTAATTAGTTGTGCATTAAGCAAAATGACTGTTCATTTTCTATTTATGAGCATAATTACAGCTATTTTGTTAATGATATTTAAATATACTTAGATACTAACAAAGATGATTTATCATCAGTATAATTTATGGAAATAGAAACATATAACGTTTAGTTGTATAGATTCCAGAAGTTGACAAGTTGCTGTGAAACAAACACAATGAAACCTAAAATAGAACTTTGCATACAGTAGAAGCTCAGTAGGTATATTTTGAATTCCCCTTAGGTTTAAATATTTATGTCTCTGATTCTGAGATTTAACTTAAATGTTTATTTCTCTTCTCTTTGATTACTGATGAATTTAGCCTAACTAAATGTAATGTATTTCTGTTTTTGAAAATGGAGATCATGATATCTTTGTTTTCCAATACCTTAAGAGATGATTTTGCTGTATCACAACTGATAGCTGTTTACAACAAAGGACCCTATTGTGTATTTTGCCAAGATTTACTGGAGTAAAATATTTTCTCTTGCCTACTAACACACACATACACACACACGCATACACACACACACACAGACACACTCACATACACAACTGTATCTACTCATACTGTTCCAATTATCCACTGCTCCATAGCAAACCACTCCAAAACAAAGTGGCTTCAAACAACTTCTCTCTCTCCATTCCTTGGGCTTGGTGGGCAGCTCTTGCTTGGAGCCTCCTGTGCCTCTGCAGTCAGAGGGTAGGTGGGCTTATGTCTTTAAAGGCTTCACTAGGTTGGATACTCAAGATGCTGGACTTTCAGATAGCCAGCAGTTGATGCAGGTGTCATCTTGGAGCTCAGCTGGGGCTTTTGAGTAGAGTACCTGCCTTACACATGGCTTCTTCCTGTGGTTTGGGCTTCTTGTTGCCTGATGACTGGGGTACAGAGCAAGTGTTCCAAGAGACGGGTTGTAGATGCCACCAGGGAGAAGGCTCAGTGGATCTTCCACTGTATTCTGTCGATCAAAGTAGTGGGAGAACCCACTCACAATCAAGCGGTGGGGACATAGATGACACCTCGAGAAGTGGCCATCTTTAATCTGCCATGCATACGTTATCGTGCTCTCTGCACGTTTTTCGTTAGGTGTATCAAGGAACTTACACTTACTGTTAGTTTTCACGTGAGAAAAATATCTGTCCTTTCAAGTTTATGAAGTATAGGGAATTCTCTCATTTTGAAAATGTTTCTATGAAGTCACTTTTCTATTTTTTGTATAATGCACTCTATGTAAATAATCAACTCAATATAAATAACATGTACTAACTGATGTGATTTAATGCTAGGCAGAAACAAGTAGATATTACATATTTTTATTTTGATTATTTCAAATATATAGAAATGTAGTGAAGAAAAATAATTGCTCCTAATAATTCTATACTGAGAAAACTGTAAATAGTTTGGTGGTGTTTCTGTTTTCTGTGCACACATCGTTTATTTTTGTAAAGTTGACATTGAATTTTCTAAGTATATGCACCTTAGCTTTGTCATGAGACTGTCCTCCAGTCATTAAATACTCTGAAACAGCATGTTTTGGATTATTTCCACAATATTCCAGTACGTAGGTATACGTGGTTTTGCTGTTTCCCCACATACTCTGCTATAGAGCTAATTTATTCTTCCTTTGATGATTTGAAATGTGCCCATGATTTCATTCTGATGATATTAAAGGAAAAAGAAGCCGTTGTGCCTGACATTTTGTTGTTTTTATTATTGGGGTTGGGTCAGCTCATCGGTACTCACCCCAACTCCATCTGTGTGAGATGAGAATGGGGTGTGCTTTTATGTAATTTTAGCCTCTGTTACTCGTTTTTTTTATATAATCTTGAACTTTAGGCACAGATTTTCCTTCGTGATATCTCTTTAAAGATTCGTTATATTTGCATTGTTTTATAAATATTCTAGCAGTTGTATTTTAATTCATGTTTAGATGATTTTATAGTTCAATACTATTTCTTTAGTATCACAACTCTTCCATAATTTAATTTTAATTTAATTTTTTTCATCTCTGTTGGTTGATTTACATATTAACTCGTTTGTAAACCAAGAAAATATGAGGGTTGTACTTTATGTTTTCACATCTGAGAATGACTTTTTGTTTTGTGATTAAGACAAACCTGACCAAGTATAAATTTGTGGGGTCATAGTAGTTCCCCCCAAAAATGCAAAAATGCTTTAGAAATTTCTGCTAGTTTGTGTCTGAAGTGTTTTGATTGTGTTCATTTGTAAGAGATCTGTTTTGATTTGTGTTTGGTTATGTGTACTGCTCCTTGATATTCTCTTTTATACGTTTATTTTTGATTGGGATACTGAAGTCTTAATTCACCTCCAGAAAGTTTTATGTGTTTCTTTTATTGTCCCTTCTTTATCTGCTTGCCCCAGTATGTGTAGATTGGAGGAGACACCCTTATCCTCCATGTTATTTATTATTTCTCTCAGACTTTCATTCATCACTTCTGAGTAGTTTATAAGTTTTTTCCAATTTGTTTTCTGCTCCATTAAGTGAATTTGTTTTACGATCAGTCTTTGATTTAATGTTCCCCTCTTTTTTTAGCTTGAGTACAATCTTTACGGATTCCATATCATTGCTTCCTTATCATCAATTGCTTTCATTTTATTTCTGCAGTATCATTTTGAATTTTGTTAAGCACATCAATCAGTAATTGTCCAAGATTTGTAATTTTATTTCTATATATGGAGTTTTGTTTTCTTCAGTATTATATTTAAGTAGGAGTTGAAATGCACTTCTTTCAGAAATTAGTGTGATTTGTGTATAATTTCTTCCGCTAGGAGGGAAGAAAGAGAATTCCACATTTACTCCACTCTAGATACATTAGTTCTAAGATCTGACAGCCGAGGGGAGGGGGCTGTGAACTCTGTTGGTGCTGCACCCCCATCCCCTTGGACCCCTCTCACCGGCTCTGACTCCCCTCCCCCAGCTTCTGCTGCTAACGGCTCACACAGGGACATTAGAGCTTAGACATTTGGCACATTACAGCTTTCTCTTTCCTGGGAAGAGCAGGTAGGTTCTCAGGAGTTCTTCACCTCCACCCTACCCCTTTGATGTGACTGATGTGGGAGTACGGTGGCCCAGCTCCTTTGCCTCCGGCTGGACAAACTTTGTGGTGTAATTTGTACTCCAGTGTTACCCACAGGACCCAGCTGAAGCCGGGACTCCACCTGAATTTGTACCCCACCTTCCTCCCCTCCTCCTGTCCCTTATTTGTTTCTCCGAGGAGCGTTTCCATAGTAAATTGTTTGCCCCCAGATCTTCACTCAGGGTCTGCTTAAGAACTTGACCTAAGTTGGTGGGTGGGGGTAAGGAGGAGGTCAGCATCTGTTCGAGAGGAAGCCCTGCCAGTCCACCCATTTAGGAAACTGCCCTGGGGCACCCTGCATCATCGTTCATCTGCCCCTTTATTGGAGATGTGTTAGTGGTGGTCTGCCTTTAGCTTCCTCCTCTTTCACAGAATGGGGAGTTTTGAGCCAGCCCTTAGGGCCCCTTAAGATTGATTCCATCTGTTCTATTTGTAGCAAAATTCACTGGAAGTTTTGCACATGCAGATGGCATTATTCCAAGTTTCTGGTCCTTTTGCTGGTTCTCTCCTGTTTTTGTGATGCACTGTTTATGATGGGGCTTGTTCGAGACTATTTACTCACATTGCCATCTTCCTAATAAACTTCCCAAAATGTTATTCTTTTTTTAGAGAAAATTTGAGGGAAAAAATATAATTTAAAATGGGCAGTAATGTGAAATATATGATTAGAACTACAAACAGTGATACTAAAAAGGAACATATAATTTATTATTCCAGAAAAAGTAATTAGGTTTTATCCTAGTTTATGATTTGGATCATTGCAAACAAAAAGGTGAGAAAATGTTTCCCGAAGACTCTTTTGCAATATGTCTTTGAAGATATCAGCATTTATAGTAAAATGAACTTGCAAAAAATGTATGAGTAATCCAAGGTTTAGACTGACCTAGTTAACAGTTCTTTTTGAAAAGCATTTATTCCTAGATTTTGGAAATGTATGAATAATACTTATTCAAACTGTAATATTTCGCTAGGGCTAATCTGACAGTATATCTGTGAGTGAACAGGAATGATAAGAATTGAGGAAATACACCTCCTTGTTCACTTTGAAATTAAAGATAAGAATTATTTTCCTTATACATGAGAAATATACTTTAAATGAAAAGACACGATGGAGCCAGCCTGGTGGCATAGTGATTGGGTTCGCATGCTTCGCTTTGGCAGCCCGGGGTTCGCAAGTTCGGATTCTGGATGTGGACCTACACACCATTCGTTGGGCCATGCTGTGGCAGTGTCCCACATACAAAAAATAGAGGAGGATTGACACAGCTGTTAGCTCAGGGACCATCTTCCTCAAGCAAGAAGAGGAGGATTGGCGACAGATGTTGGTTCAGGGCCGATCTTCCTCACCAAAAGGAAAAAAAAAAGACATCATTGTCATAATTCTTATGATACTATATATTTTTTTCAGAATTGCTGATATATAAGTCTAGGTTTTTATCTCAAGAACAGGGCTCCTTTTTTAGTTTAAAGTGATAAACAACATTACTAAAAACATTTTTCTGTGCAAATTATCTTGTTATTGGTACCTCTATGTTTACATGATCAGGGTGTTAAAAGAATTTCCACATATCTTGAGCAGCCCTCACTTATTGCCTTTCCAACCTAAATGGTATGAGAAATGAGGAAAAATTGAAAAACTTTCACTTTTTCTAAAACATGAAAATATTTTATGAGTGTATTCTGTCCAGTTCTGTCTCATTCTCTTGCCTCCAGAAATGGACCTTGTGGGGAATTTGGTTGTTTGAGGTAAACTTTTAAGTAAATACAGGAAGAATAAGCATTTCTATAATATTTACTTTTCCTATAAAGGAACATTTGTTTGTAGTTTTTACTTTTATTTTTCAGTGCAGTTCTGTGTTTTTTGTTTTTGCATTTTTGCCTTAGGTCACTAATTTTAGCTAAATTTATTCCTGAGTAGTTGTTTATTACTTGTTTGCTTAATGGGACTTTTATGCTTCAGTTTATTTTCTAACTGATTATTATTGGTTGCCAGAAAGCTATTGATTTTTAAAACGTTAAAAAATGAATCTGAAGCATTTTTAGATTTACAGAAAAATTGCAAAGGTAGTACAGGGTCCTTCTACACTCCACACCCAATTTCACTGGTTTTTAATGTCTTATGTGAATACATTAAATACAATTAATTCTAATAATTAATTTCATTAATTTTAATAATAGTATGAGTTTTATCACTTGAATGATGCAACACTTTTGGAAGTAGCATCACCGTATTTCTTTCAGTATAATCCAAAATTTTTGGTCCTTCAGATGTTATACTACTAATTGAGTCAATGTTTGTAACTTATATTTTCCTAGAAAATTTATCATTTTGATAAAATATTGACATTTATTTCCTAGTTGTTCATGATATGATTAAGTTTTGGTCTTTGTGTTAATAATTTCTAGGAATAATTTATATATTCTGGATAAACATTAGTGTATATTATATCTCTTCTCTTCTCTTCTCTTTCTCTTTCTGTGTATCTTATGCCATTTCCTCTAGTGGAGATTTCAGTTCTTCTAGTACCTTTTGGATTTTTCTACATTTTTTTTTAGCCAGATGCCTTTTGTTTCTCGGCCTCCATCTTCCCAGTCACTTTTTCCGTCTGCCTGTAAAGAGATTGTCTCTTCTCAAATCTTCTTAGAGAAAGCACAGTGTGGTCTAATTTTGTCGTCTTTGTCTTTAAAAAATAATTCCACTGAGTTTTCAAGAAGTTGGGATTTTTTATTCACTTTTGAATTTCCATAGCCCTGGTCTGGGACAGGTGGGACTGGAGTGATGGCCACTCTATTCCTCACTCTCTGTGTAAGGATTAGGATTTTTTTAGGAAAGGAACTGATTGGTGATATTAACCCCAGTTTTCTTTGATCGGTGGAGTGTTTTTATCCTGGAGTAATGGCCAACACAGGGAGTGAGGCAGTTGGGGATACCAGTTTGGTTTACAATGTGCAGCATGTGTGGTCTGAAAATGCCCTTTTAACAGACAGTCTTTGCTGTAATTATCTGTTATCCCAACTGAATGAGTGGAGCTATCTGTGCTCCTGTTTAATGTTATCCTTTCATTTGCACGCTAGCTTCCATCCCCTTTCACTTAATTAAGACACCACTCCAGCAATTCTCCTTTTCCTTCTTCTACTGTTCATGTCTCTCTGTCTTCTAGAAGATTCCCACCATCTAGAAGATTCCCACCAGCAAACAAATATTTCCATCATGTTTAAAATAGACCCCTCTTGACCTCAAATTGCTCTTTAGTTAGTACCCTAATACTCTTAATACTCTGCTTCCTGTGACTAAGTTTTTTGATTAGAATTGTTTCTACTAGAATTGTTTCTTACTTCATTTTCCTTTGTCTTTTATCTCTTGAATACACCCTAGACAGATTTTGGACATCGTTTCACGAACACTGCTCTTCTCAGTGTCACCAGTGACTTCAATGTTGCTTAATAACCTCTTGACTAATCTTGAGTCCTCATCTGAATTGACTTAGCAGCATTTAGTAACAGTTGTTACACCCTCCTTGAAAAACTTTTGTGAATGTTTGTCTAAATCAGCAGCATTCTGGAATCTTCCATTACTCCTAGCCATTCTTCCTTAGCCTTTTTTGCTGAACCTCTAGATGCTGGAGGGCTCAGGCTTAATCCTTAGACCTCTCTCCTCCTCTGCACTCAGTGGTTTCTCATCCAGCTTCATGCCTTTAAATATGCATATATTCTGGCTATTCCAAATTTATATTTTTAGCACATTCTTCTCATCTGAATGCAGAAATGCTGGATTTCTCTATCTAGTTGCCTACTTAACTTTCCCACTTGAGTGACGAATAAGCATCTCAGATTTAAAGTATCCAAAGTCAAGTTGCCCATCTTCGCCACTGCTCCAAACCTGTTCCTCCTGCGTCTTTCACATACCAGGAATCAGTAAGTTTTAACCTTCTCGTTGCTCGGGCCTGAATCCTTTGATTCATCTTTGGCTCCCCTCTTTGTCTGATACTTCAAATCCAGTCCATCAGCGAAAACTGTCTGCTCTCCCAGAAAGTACGAATCCAGAATGTTCACCACCTTCAGTGATCCAAGCCGCTATACTCTTGCCTCAATTACTGTAGTAAATTCCTGCCTGATTTTCCTACTTCTTGACCCTACTCGTTACAGAGATCCCACACTGCCACACCCACGGGCCTTCTCTGATCTCGTCTCTTAACGCGGTACATTGTTCTCTCCAGCTCCATGCGTCTCCTTGCTGTTCCTAGCATGTTGCAGCACTTTCTACCTCAGGATCAGTGCCCTGATGTTCCCCTGGCTGAGACACTTTTCTTCCTACCATGCTACCTAACGTTGAAATCTATGCCCACATAACCTTCAGCCCCCACACCGTTCCGTTCTTTACTTTTCTCCAGGGCCTCTATGACCATGTGACATGCTGTCTATTTTCTTATCTTTGTTTGTCTGTCTCTCCCCGCACTGGACGGAAGCCTTCATGGGGCAGGGATATCTGTGTGTTTTGCTACTCTGTCTATAGTGAAGGCACAGTGGGCACTCACATACTCTTTAAAACTAGTGAGTAATGAATGGTGAGTGACTTTTCTGAGAGATTATCAGTTTCTTAAACATCATAATTATTAGCTTATGGTAAAAATATGGAGCATATGATAGGATGTGCAGTGAAAAGTAAGTCTCCTGTGCCTTGCTCTCATCGTGCATTGTTCTAAAAAAAAAGATGTATGTAAGTGCAAACATGTCTCTCTTTCACCTAAAGAATAATGTGCAAACTGTCCTATGCATTGCCATTTATTTATTTATTTTTATTTATTTAGTTATTTATTTTTTATTGCAGTAACGTTGGATTATAACATTATATAGCTTTCAGATGTATTTTGTAATATATTTCAAATTCTGTGTAGATTACATCATGTTCACCACCTAGAAACTAATTACAATCCATCACTTACATGTGTGAGCCTAATCATCCCTTTCGCCCTCCTCCTTCCCCCCTTGCCCTATGGTATCCACTGATCCATTCTCCGTTGCTATGTGTTTGTTTGTCATTGTTTTTAATCTTCTACTTATGAGTGAGAGCATATGGTATTGGACTTTCTCCCTCTGACTTATTTCACTTAATACCCTTAGGGTCCATCCACGTTGTCACAAATGACCAGATTTCATTGTTTCTTATGGCTGAGTAGTATTTCGTTGTGTATACATACGACATCTTCTTTATTCATTCGTCCCTTGATGGGCACCTAGGTTGCTTCCAAGTCTTGGCTATTGTGCATAAGGCTTCAATGAACATCGGGGTGCATGTATCTTTATGCAATAGTGTTTTCAAGTTCTTTGGGTTAGTGTTTTCAAGTTCCACCCAGCAGTGAAATAGCTGGATCATATAGTAGATCTATTCTTAGTTTTCTGAGGAAACTCCATACTGTTTTCCATAGTGGCTGCATCAGTTTACACTCCCACCAGCAGTATATGAGGCTTCCCTTCTCTCCACATCCTCTCCAACATTTGTTATTTCCTGTCTTGTTAATTATAGCCATTCTGACCAGAGTGAGGTGATATCTCATTGTAGTTTTGATTTGCATTTCCCTTATGCATTGCTATTTACACAGTATATATTCTTTGGAGATCATTCTTTGTCATTGTACATATATACCTTTACGCTTGCATATATTATACATTAGCCAGCCTTGGTGGTCTAATGGTTAAGATTCGGTGCTTTCACTGCTGCAGCTCAGGTTAGTTTCCAGGTCAGGGAACCATACCACTCTTCTGTCAATTGTCATACTGTGGCAGCTGTGTGTGGCGGTGATGCTGAAAGTTCTACCACCAGTATTTCAAATACCGGCAGGGTCACCCATGGTGGACAGGTTTCAGCAGAGCTTCCAGACTAAGACAGACTAGGAAGCAGGACCTGGCCACTCACTTCCAAAAAAATTGGCCATGAAGACCCTGTGAATAGCAGTGGAGCATTGTCGGATATAGTGAAGAAAGTGAGATGATGACACAAAAAGACTGGGCAAGGTTCCGCTCTGCTGTCCACAGGGTCGCTAGGAATCAGAATCGACTCAACAGCACTAACACATTATACATTAGTATATAATATATAATGACCAAGAATGATCTCCAAAATCTATATATATAAAGCATAAATGGTGGCGTATAGCCCTATGTGTACACTATTTTTAAATGTGTGTGTATATTATGTAATATATATTATATAAATATGATACAGAGAGTTACATAGTTATATAGTTATATACATTACTTTGCAGGTTTTTCCTGGCTGATGGTTGAGTTTCGCCTCAACATTTTGACTGATTTCTTTTTTTCCTTTGCAGTGCCCACTGTTGATGTCTTTCAGATTTCCACAAAAGAGCGCTTTGGATTGGGACATCAGCTGAAAAAGTAAGCTTTCCGAAGGATAAAAAAGAAACTTCTGTTGAAGAGAACTGAGTTCTCATTTTGCTCTTTTTCCACAATAAGAGGTTGGTTTTTTTTTTTTTTTGGAGGAAGATTAGCCCTGAGCTAACTACTGCCAGTCCTCCTCTTTTTTGCTGAGGAAGACTGGCCCTGAGCTAACATCCGTGCCCATCTTCCTCTACTTTATATGTGGGATGCCTACCACAGGATGTCTTTTGCCAAGCGGTGCCACATCCGCACCCAGGATCCAAACCGGGGAACTCTGGGCCGCCAAGAAGCGGAATGTGTGCACTTAACTGCTGCGCCACCGGGCCAGCCCCCAATAAGAGATTTTTTTTTTTAAATTGAGGTTATGATAGTTTACAACCTTGTGAAATTTCGGTTGTACATTATTATTTGTCAGTCATATTACAGGGGCACCACTTCACCCTTTGCGCCCACCCCCTACCCTGCTTTCCCCTGGTAAAACACTAGTCTGTTCTCTTTGTCCGTGTGTTTGTTTATCAATAAGAGCTTTTTCAAGCAAGCACTTCAGGAGAGGAATTAGCATCTGATGCTGAGAGCTGCGGCCATGATTCCGTTGGCAGAGCTCACTTTCAGACTGGGCCAGCTTCCTTCTATTTGTGCCCCCAGATCCACAACCTTCCCTCTCACATTGACCACCAGAGGAGGAACCAGTATGAGATGAGAGTATTTGTTGCTTTTGGTTCTTCCCTGTAAGGTCATCTTGAGCTGACAAGTCCTTCAACTGGTGCTCTCTGTTCAGCTCCAGACTGCAGGCTTTGCGTGACTGTCACTCTTACTGGGTTCTGTTAATGCTCCCCTCTGCTTGTTCCTTGGGGCCTAGAGGTGGTAACAGTTTAGCAGCCATTGGCCCTGGGCTACTGCACTACCCCTTGTTCCCATACCCACACCTTTGGAACATTCCTTTTGTAAATAAACCCTTTATTTCCTGATTGGACCTTGACTAACACGATTCAATTTATCTTTTATAAACATAAAATCACCCCAGTTGAACTGACTTCACCTCAGTCAGAGTCAAAATATAAATGTAATAAACCCTATGTTTATTAAAATATCAGCTTTAAGAATTTATATTTATGGAGAATTTATGAAGGATTGTTTATTCTTCTGAAGATGCAGATTTTACTTCAATTTAAATTTATCGAGAGAAATCATTAGATAAATATATACTGAAACACATGGTTTGAGTCCTCCATAAGGATGCAGTCCACATGTTCACCCTTATTTTAATGAAATTTCTTTGGGCATCATACATTAGCCTTTATTGAGCAATCCTCTAAGAGAAAATACTTTGAAACTTTTTATTTCATTTACAAAATAGAGAACTTATCGTGGTTATTTGGCCTGAGGTTATAGATGTAGTAGGAAGTTTCCTGTGTGGTATCAAGGGTTGTACATTCCACAGAGCTCTAGAACTGTCTTAAGTTTTTATGACTTTACATGAGGCAGCATTGTTCAAATGTGAGTTATGTGTGGATCCCATTTGAAAAGAAAATTCTGGCAAATCCTCAGTGTTGGGTTTAAATATGTATGCATAAAAATTAGATAATAAACCCTTAATATTTAGAATTCTGTATCTCTACAACTAAATTCAACTTACAACATATGTTTAGCACCTTATCTTATGCAGTGTTTTCTTTATACGGACGCATAAGAGAAATTTACTCAGTTTTCTGTACTAGGATTGAGTGTGCTTTTCCAGTGCAGTTGGTTTTGTGTTTTCAGTCGGATTTTGTTTTTGGTGTTGAGCCAGTTTCTTACAGGTCTTGGAGCTACACATGGAGCCTGCCTTTATGTTATGTCATCGACGTTGGGTATCTTTTTTTGGCCACGTCTATTTTTTTTCTCCTGTGATTTTTCCCCTCATCCAGTTTTCTCTGTTGTTTTTTAAAATTTTTGCATTTAATGGCTTTATTTTTTTTAGAGCAGTTTTCGGTTTACAGTAAAATTGAGAGGAAGGTACGGAGACTTCGTCTATACCGCCCTGCCCCCACGCATGTGTAGCCTCCCCCATTATCAACATCCCCCACTAGAGGGGCACCTTCGTTACAACTAATGAACCTGCATTGACCCGTCATAATCACCCAGTCTATAGTTCTGCTTTATGTACTTTTGTAAGCCACTTAAGAACTTGTTTTTTTTAAGTGAAGTGAGGTTGATCCAAGCAGGACGAGAATTATAAAAGCACAGAAGTCTAGGAATAAATAGCTTCCTACCCTTAATGGCTTCTGAGTACATCATTTGGGCTCAGAAAAAGGAATGATGTGTATAATTCCAACCCTGAGAAATTAAGGAAAGCTGTGTACTACATTCACTGTTTAATCACCTTGTAGAATTAGTAATGTTATTTTATTAATATTTCAATCTAAATGATTAATAGTTTTTAAAAGTCATTTACTCTACGGATAAATTTTAGTTATATGGAAAGTTTGGTGATATAGACTTGAAATTTTTTTTATAATCCTTGATAAATTTTAGTCTAATTATAGACATATGTTTAAGTTTCCTTAATTAGAGATAACTGAGTTTGGCTGTGATCCTTAAGGTCCCTTCTGGTCTAAAATTATATGATTTTAAAAATCTGATCTCATCCTCACAATAAATCGTAAGAGGAAACTGAAATGTGAAGAGATTATTTTCCAGAAACAAACAGCAAGTCAGGAAGGCAGATTTAGAATCTAGGCCTTTTGTTATTGCTCAGGTTTGTTTCAGCAAATAAGAAACACTCATTAAACTTTTTCTGTGATTCTTTATCTGATGTGTTTCTGGAAACAAGACAGAGTCTTAGCAGCAGCAGCAGCAAATGCTTATGCTTATGTGGTGCTTATTATATCTCAAGCTGTCGTCTAAGCACTTTACATTTATTAACTCCCTTGATCTTTACAGCCCTATGAAGCAGGTGCTGTTACATCCACGTTTCCTCAATGATGAAACTGAGGTTCAGAGCGATTAAGCAGCTGGCCTAAGGCCACACAGTGAGCAAGTGGTAGAGTCAGAGTCTGACTCCAGATCGATACTTTGGACACATCCACTAATCTGCCTCTCATATAGTCCTAGATATCCCTTTGCCTTATATAAGACTTGGAATAAATGTTTGGCACTGAATGAATATTGGGAAAATGTGAAGTCATTAAAAGAGCCAGAAAGAAAAATACTGACCTGAAACAGATGTAGTGTAGTGATCAGCTTCATGTCGAGTATCTGTCATTCAAGGGCTAAGCGTATCACAGACCATGGAAATAAGCTGAAACTGTGTATGACTTTATGCTGAATCTGCGTTGATCAAACTTAAGTTGTTTTTAAAAGGGGAAAAAATATTGCAAATCTCCGGTATTGCCTTAAATTCGTATAGACAAAATTAGATCTAAATTCTTCATATGTAGAGTTTGCGTTTATGAAACGAAGTTCAATTTACAACTTAAGTGCAAATCAAAGCAAAATACTCAAATTCCAAGTTAATACATGAATTTAAATTGAAGGATGATATTATTTTATTGGCACTGTTTCACCACCATTTTGAATATAATACTGGCTCCCCCAGGTCGTAGTTCTTTTGAAATAAGCCTGAAGAAAATCGTAATGTTACCCACATGTACTCCCTTTTCTCTCTTTGAACAACCTTTGAACCTTTGTTCATGTAACTGTGACATCATCTGGTCTTCACTAGATGACATCATCTGGTCTTCACTAGATGCGAATGTCTAATTTACCTTGAAGTCTTTTCCTCTTCTTTTATCGTCAGCCAAGAGCAGTTGTAGTAGTTCTTGGCGCCGGCACAATAGTAAATGCAAACAGCAGTATGAGTACTGAATTCTCTTGGTGGCTCTCTGTTGTGAGGACGTGGTTGTTACGCCAATGTGCTCATAAGTATATGTCAGATTACCATTGAAATTAAACCCAAGAAATTAAATTTCTTAAAGGAACCAGTTAACTCCTACCCTTTTGAATCCAACAGCATTTAGGGATCTGGGTATCCAAGTTTAAGAATTACTTGTTCTAGATACTGAAGTCCCATTTTAGAATGCTGATATAATATGAAAGTGGGAACAATTTTCACCATTTTGACTTGTTACTTTTTTGTTTCAGTTGTCCTATCAAGATTAGGCAGGCACTTGATGGGTTTCTTAGGGAATGGTACACAGAAATAGCAATTTTTCATAGGAAGAAAAGGACCTGAATCTCTTTGGTACAGACGGTGGTGTTACTGGGGATTTCAGGCTAGGTATAGGGAAAAATGACGACGCTAAAATTACTATTACATTTAAATCTTGGTGCAATCTTGGGTGAAGGAAATCTTCAAAAATTGAGTGTATAATAAAAATTTTCCTTTGTCTTGAGCTCTAAGATGAATTTCTGTGAGTTGGAAACGGGCATCATTGATTGCAGTTTTACCCCTCTCCCTCACTACCTCTAAGACAGCCAAAAAGACCCAAAATAGTGCTATATGTGACTCTTTCTTCTGAATTCATCTAAACTAGCAGACAGAGGTTGGGGTAGTAAGTCTGAGTGATATACTTTTCTGGCGATTTGTGTTAATTTGGGACGACCTGAAAGGTACTGAGAAATTAATGTTGGCCTAGTGCTAAGAGTCGCACTTGTCCCTTTTGAATAAGATATGTTAACACATGTCAATCCGTGTTTGATAATATAGATATTATAGCTCTGCCACTTATTATCTTGGCTAACTTGGGCAGATTTCATTTCCTTACCTTATTTGTGAAATGTGTGGACTAATAGCTACCTTCTGGGGGGTGTCCTAAGAATGAAAGAAAAAAAAAATCTGTATATGAAGTTCCTCTTTTATTCCCTGGTCTATTGTAAATGATAAACAAATATTGGTACCAATTTCCTGTCCCCAAAGCAGTCTGTGTTACAAAGAACTGAGAAGAGCATGCAAAACAGGCAATGCTGAATTGACGTTTGAAAGGAAGTCCAAATATTTAATTTATTGCACACACAATGTTTAATGGTAAAATTTCCCATCTACTTCAAATCAGCCCTGTGAAACCCTCTTCCATTGTTGCTTGAAAGATGAAATACGGGGAAGGCATTGGAAGCAATGGTGTATCTGAGTCCACAATTGACATTCCAGAATTCTTTGCCACAAATCAATGATGCAGTGATCCTGACTTAGAAAATACTGAGATCACGAGTTATCAAATTCTGGCCTTATGATAGTAACTAAACATTTTTAAGAGAAATCCAAATTAAAAAAACCGTCATATTTAAAGATCAGTGGGCTGTGCTAAAGATAAAATTTGCTGACTTGATATTTCTCCCTAGAATCACTTTTGCCTGGCTTATTTTTCCTTGTCATTTTACAGTTTTATTTTGTTTTTCTTTTCATGAAGAAAAATACAGAAGCAAACCAAGTAAAAAGAAATTGACTTTGCTTGTATCTTAATATATAAAGTCATAATTAGTAATAGAAAACTCTTCAAACTGTGTTTCTGGCACCAACAAATAAAGGCAGAATTTTTTTTGCCACTTCAGCCAAAGTTGTTGATCCTAAAGGCTGTCTCTATAATCTTTACAGATCTCTTTATACCCTTATTCTTCCTTCAATTTTCCTATCAAATGTATTTTTAATATATCACAGTAATTAATTATTAATTATAACATAGTAGAGTCATAAAAGTTTTTTAATGATGCTTTCCTACACAGGAAAACATGTGGTACATTTCTAAATTACCATCTCACTAATTACTCTGCATTTGTTTTCCTTTGATAACTGCGTTCTCTACATAATAAATACAGAAATCTTATGTTAAATTACTTTGCAACTGTGATAACAGACTTACCTTTGGATTGACAGAATCATGCAGACATTTGTTACACAGCAGTGGAAACAGAGCAAAGAAAAATCCAATTGCCTGCACAGTAAGAAGCTGTCGGAGAAGAAGGTGAAGTCCCCCCTGCATCTATTTTCTACGTTGCGCAGGTGGGTCGCCGACGACTTCATCATTGTCCTGCTGGATCCTGAGCGTGTGATGCTCCGCGGTTATTTAGTTCAGAGCATTCTGTCTATAGCCTTGGCATCTGTTTATTTTCTCTGTGACTTCAAAGACCGGGCTAAGTTACATGCAGTCCATCAAAAACATAGATATTCATTTCTGTGTTTAGAGTTTTTATTTCCTTAACGTGGGTGAAATTTACTAAAATTACTTTCTTTCTTTTCAAATCACTTGGAGTTTTCCCTAGCAAAATGAGTTCCATATAGGGCTCTGGGATAAGTTGGAGGGGAAAAAATCTGATAAGCTTTTTTTGCTTTTCAGGAAAATGATAATTCAGCCCCTGTGGCCATTAGGTACACACTTTTGATTTCGATTTTAGCTGGATAGGCTGCATTAGAATAAGGTGGTAATTCTAGCAGAGTTGAGTTACCGGAACCTGACCAGTGTTCTGCACGGTCTCTTATACTCATGATTTGCCCTGTGTTAATGGTTGTTCCATTTCGAAGGTCGCCAAGTTATCCTCCCCCTGGTTGTGGGAAAAGCAAATCCAAACTGAAATCTGAGCAAGATGGAATCTCCAAAACGCATAAGCTGCTGCGGAGGACTTGTTCCAGCACGGTCAAGACCGATGACGTGTGCACCGCAAAGTCACACAGGACCTTTGGTCGCTCCCTGTCCAGCGACCCCAGGGCTGAGCAGGCAGTGACGACCATTAAGTCACACAAACTCTTGACCCGTCCCTGCTCGGCAACTGTCAAGCAAGAGGACTGCCTCAGCCTCAAGTCACATAAACTATTGACTCGATCTTGTTCTGGAGATCCGCGCTGTGAGCACAACGCCAACCTGAAGCCCCACAAACTGTTAAGCAGGTCTTACTCCAGTAATCTCAGAATGGAGGAATTGTATGGACTGAAAAACCACAAGTTGCTCAGCAAGTCTTACTCCAGTGCCCCCAAGTCATCCAAAACGGAGCCTTTCAAGGAACCTAATGCAGAGGGCAGGAGGCTCTCTCTTACCTCAGGGCTTATTGGAATCCTAACACCATCTTCATCTTCATCTTCCCAGCCTGCTGTGCGTATATACTTTCATCTTGAGTTCTTAAGTGTTTAGGCTAAGGTGCAGCAGAGGTGGGTTTTTTTTTTTTTTTTTTTTTTTTTTTGGAAGATCTGATAGAGGAAAGGAGCAAGGTTTTTTTTTTAATTTACTAATTTTTTTCTTTTTGGATATTATTTTGCATACCAGACATTTGCGGCTGGTACCAGAATGTTCATTTTGATTCTGAAAAAATAAATGTAGCTATTGATTTGGGGTCTAGTCCAAATTCCTGTCATGGTAATGAATGCTACTAATAATGGAAGGAACTCAGTTGGATTCATAAAGCCTATCCTTTTAAGCAAGCATAGCATTTTAATGATTTATTAGGTAAGTTTACCTATTCTGTAGTTATCTCACATAAGTAATGGAGGACAAAATTTGTCTAATAATTAAGAGTAATATCCTTCCTGTTATATGTAAGAGGAAAACTTTGCTCGTGGACTTTGTTACTTGTACCGAAAAGCAACATTTACAGCTGTATCCCAGAGCTTCACTTAAAGCTGTTCTTAGTGTCTGCTTTATAGAACGGAAGTCACTTTATTCTGAAGCTGTTTTCTGGGGGCTATGGGGCCAGGAGGTGACTATGTAAAAACTTAAGTCCTTTGGGTGGTATTTATTGGGAGATAGTCTTTCACAAAATTTATCTCTAGAGTGATCAGCTTTATAGCCGGTTTCAGATAAAGAAACAGGCCTATCTTATGTATGTTAATTACATAAAGTAATTGATAAAAAGTTTGCTTTTAGTAATTGAGGGTGTGTGTGTGTGTTGGGGGAGGGATGTATTTAGCTCTTAACTATCAATATGGGTACACCTAGCAATAGATGAAATTGAAAAAATACGAAGATACTGTTTTCAGAAAGTTGTGTTTCTCTTGTATAGATTTATTTCTATAATTAAATTGTGAATTTTACTGTAAAATTATATTTGCATGAAGAAAATGTGAGTATGTTGATGATTTTAGGTGGACATCCCTAACAGCCCATTTCTTATCAAAACTAAGCATTAAGGACATATAGAAAATATATAGAAAATATAGAAAATAATGTCAAAGAGTCACATAGTAGAAAGTTTCACCTAAGAAAGATAATCTGAAATATTCTGTAAAAGAAAATGTCTTAATGTCCTCCTGTAAGGTTAAACATAGTACAATAGTTTAGTGTTGTACCCCTTTCAATAGCTGTCTAATATGTCCTTGGAGGAGTAATTCTATCTGATTGTAAAATAAGGTTGGAATCCTCTAAATGGGGAGGTGGGAGCATTTGACAATGAGTAATAGAAGAAACGAGTTTTTGTGATCACATAAAGATGCCAGTCATTTCTACTAGAAGATCAGAAACAAAGAATACTATCTATTTAGTTTAGACAAAGTTTGCAGTAATAATGACAGACAGTGTATTATAATGAAGAAATTCTCAAATCTCCGTGTCATAGTCAGTGTCTTAATTCATATTACAGGTGATCTTAGGAAAATCACATCTGTATTCAGTGTTGCACAAAGTAAAAGGCTATAATTTGTATATTTTCCCAATTAAAAAATTATTTTGTTCTTTCACTTTGCTTTTTGTAGCCAAATGGTGCCAAATGCATCCCAATACGTGACCGCGGCTTCCTGGTGCAGGTACGAGCCACGACTCCATCCATCGGAGAATATTTTAGCCTTTAGTGGGTTTTCACGTCATTTATGAGCTTGACTTAATTATTTCTCTTTCTTGTTTTATTCAGACAATTGAGTTTGCTGAGCAGCGGATCCCTGTGTTGAACGAATACTGTGTGGTCTGTGATGAGCCTCATGTGTTTCAGAACGGCCCCATGCTCAGGGTGAGTTCTCCTTGGTGGAATGTCAGTGTGATTTAGCATTATAAGTGAAAAGTGTTAGAATATAAAAATAAGCGAATAACTGAATTTACAGTAAGTACTCTCTGGTGAGCAAAGTAATACACGAAGTGGTATGATTTTGACAAGTGAATCACTATTTCTGAAGGAGTCTGAGAAAAAGCAAGCAGTTTTGTATTAGGAAAATAATTCTTTTTTTTTTTTTTTTTTAAAGCTTGGCACCTGCAGTAACATCTGTTGTCAGTCTTTTTGTTTTGTTTTGTTTTGTTTTCTTCTTTCTCCCCAAAGCCCCCTGGTACATAGTTGTATATTCTAGTTGTGAGTGCCTCTGCTTGTGCTACATGGGACGCCACCTCAACATGGCCTGATGAGCAGTGCCATGTCCGCGCCCAGGATCTAAACCAGCGACACCCTGGGCCACCAAGGCAGAGCGTGAGAACTTAACCACTCAGCCACGGGACCGGCCTCAGAAAATATTTCTTCTTGTATTTCTTATGTGTGCCTATCTATCATCTCTCTTTCCATCCATCTATCTATATCTCTCCCTATCCACTTATATCTTTATCAATATTGATAACGATATAGATGGATAGAAAGATAGATATAAACATAGATGTATATATGTAAACTTACAAACAGTGTTTCTCCAAAACCACACAATTTTAGATGCTTAATATAGAGAAGAGAAGGTAGTCCTTATTCTGGTTAGAAGAGGTATACAGTAGCATACGGAGAATCAGAATAAAGATTTCAAAAAATGCCAACTCACTGACAGATTCGGGGCATTATTGAGGAAGTATGGAAATAAGAATCAATGTGTATATGTGCATTTGGGGTACAATTATCCCATTTCAAAAGTTTGCTCTGCAATTTTTTATTGAGATAAAATTCATATAACATACAATTCACTATTAGTGTATAATTTAGTGGTTTTTAGTATATTCACAATGTTGTGCAACCATTACCACTGGTAATTTCAGAATGTTTCCATTACCCAAAAAAGAAACCCAACAACTGTTAGCAGTCACTCGCAATTTTCCTCTCCCCTTGTCCCCTGGCAACCACTGATCTGTTTTCTGTCTCTATGAATTTGCCTATTCTGGACATTTCATATAAGTGGAATCGTGGATTATGTGGCCTTTAGTTTTTGCTTCTTTCACTTAGTATGAGGATTTCAGGGTCTATCTATGTAGCATGTATCAGTACTTTATTCTCTTTTATGGTGAAATAATAATTACATTACATCGATATACAACATTTGTTTATCCATTCACCAGTTAATGGAACTGCTGGGACATACGTATGTTAACTCAATTTAACTTTTTGAGGAACTACTAAACTATTTTTGACAGTGGCTGCACTGTTTTATGTTCCCACCAGTAATGTCTGATGGTTCCAGTTTCTCCACATCTTCACCAACACTTGTTATTCTCATTTTTTTCCCCCAATTATAGCCATCCTAGTGTGTGTGAGGTGGTATCTCTTTGTGGTTTTGACTTGCACTTCCCTAATGACTAATGATTTTGAACACCTTTTCAAGTGCTTATTGGCCATTTGCACATCTTTCCATTTGATACATGGAAATGCGTAGTTATAATGAGAAAAGAGAGAATTCTTTCATCATCTCAGTTTATCCCATTTAGGAGGTCTAGTTGTACTTTTCAGTGTCCACCTGTTGATCGTGGTTTATTGCTTGATCCATGGCAATGCCATTTCCACTGCAGAAGATAATGGTAATGTTATTGATAGCAAGTGCTTCTTGAGTGCTTTTTATGGGATCATGTGTTCAAAGTGCTTTCCATGGATTACGTAATTTAATCCTCATAATACCCCTATGCGTTGGATATTATTATTATCATCCCAGCTTTACAAATGAGGAAACCAGTAATTTGTTCAGTGTCCCACTGCTAGTTAGAGGTAGAGACAGGATTTGAACCTGGGCAAAATGGTACCAGGGCCGTGGTTCTTATTCTTGATGGTAGTCTTGACTCACGTACTTGAACTGACTTCTTTTATATCTGGAAATTTACTACACAGGTTGTTTAGAGTTCACCCTTTGTGGTTTAATTGCTGGCAGTTGGTTCCTGTAGTAAGTGATAGAAATGTCATACTTGCTATTAGTATTCTCTGTGCTTCACTCCAAATTTTCTTGTACTTTATCTGTATCCTTCTGCACAAATGAAGGTTGCTGTCTCTTCCTAAAAGTGGAAGTGCTTTTGTAAATGAGAGAAAATAACATTTTTCTAAAAAAAAAAAATGTAGCTAGTTATCAGAAGTTTTTATGTTGCTGTGATTCAGACAGGAATCTAAGGAAATGAGAAAACTTACTTTGGTTTCATAAATAGTGAGATAAGTGATATATGAAATCAGATTAGGAAATGAAAATCAAAGACACATCTCATGTCCAAAGGAAGAGAGGTAAACACAGAGAACTGCCTCTTGATCCTGTTACACATATATGTCACCCAGTTGGGCACACTCATATTTTGTAGCTCTCTTATATTTACACTGCATTATGTTTTACTGCTATTTTCATAGTAATGTAAAAACATATTACAGATGTAATTTCTTATGGGGTATAAATCAGTAAACCGACTCATTGACCATTTATTCAACCCACATGACACATTGCAAACTAATAAATCCCGGAGATATAAAGAGGGTAAGTTACAACCAGTTGGTGATTAAATGGGTTAGATAAAACTCAGGTTTCCATAGAATTCTATGCCTAATGTTTATTACATTTGTTAGATCTTTCCCTTTGGAAAATTGAACTGTTTCTTTCTCTAGGCTGATTGTTTTTTTGTTTTTCTGCTGAGGAAGATTTGCCCTGAGCTAATATATGTGCCAGTCTTCCTCTATTTAGTATGAGAGTCACTGCCACATCATGGCTGACAAGTGACGTAGGTCCGCATCTGGAGTCCAAACCTGTGAACCCAGGCCGCCGAAGCAGAGTGCATGGAACTTTAACCACTAGGCCATAGGGTCGGCCCCAGGCTGATTGTTTTTTAAATGACATAAGTCCCCTTTTACCCCTCTTCCCCCAAAGTTCTAGAATTTTAGTCACTACGTGTACTCAGAGGTCTAGGTAAGCATGTTATCCTTTCTGCAACATGGGGAACTAAACTGCTTACTTTATTTAGAAATGCCATGATGCTCCAATTTTCTCTTTGGTTTACAGAGGTTATAAATGTCACAACCGGATGTGAGTCCTGACATGTAATGCTTTAAATCTGCATAAAACTTACGTTAACATCAGGAGGATTGTTCAGTCTGGCAGTGCAGTTTGGATTGTCAACAGAAAAGCCGAACCAAAACCAAATCATTGCTTCTCTACATTTTGGAATCAACTAGAGTGTTAGTGAAGCAAACTGTTTTAGAGATGCTTTAAAAGGTTGATGTCTTCATCAAGTGGTTTTGCAAAACAAGGATTTATTGCCAAAATTGCTACTGTTTTAATCAGCCTCTAAATTCCTAGTGCCCTCGTCTTTTTGTTATATTCACCTTAAACCCCCTCATCTTGGATCAGTGAAAATGTCTTCTTTGAACCCTGCATATGAGCTGATAGATAATGTTGGAGAAAACCACACGGTTGGGTGGATTACTATTCCTACAAAGTTGGAAGTTGGTCATTGATACTGGCAGTCATTCTGTGTGTCCCAGGTTGATAGACTTTCCCATTTCCCACATCAACATCTGTTACGAGGATTACGATTTCATTCTCTTCTACCATATGAAAGTGTCCCAGATTGCTTACTGTGTGATTCTGCTATCGGCACTTGAGAACAATGCCCAGTCCTACTAAAGCACAGCCAACTGAGAAACCTGAGAATCTATAGTTTTGAGTATTCAGCCTTGCTGTGGACCTTAGACAAATGTTTGTAACTAAAAGTTATTTTCAGAGTGAAATTAACAATACCCAGTTATAATTTGCTCATAGTTTAAGTGGGGAAACCTGGATCTGTCCCATTTTACCTTCTCAGAGCAAAACAGGTAGGTCTTCTCGTATTTAGTTCTGACTTTAATATCTGAAGAACGGATGAAAGAGCACATCCTGTTCTTTTCTCTCCCCCTCTCCAGCCCCTGAAGTCACAGAAGTTAAGATTTCAAGTTCTGAAATACAGGCTAAACTAAATATATGCCAAAAAATTTTCAGTTCAAAAATGTGATTTGTTTTTCGACATCCAAATTGAGTAGAAATTGGTTTTAATGCTCAAACAACAGCTTTAGTTGTAAGAGACAATAGGAATCCCTATGTGCTGAGGCTCACCCTATCTTATTGTGGGTCTGTCGTGATCTCTGAGATTCTCATCTTTCTAAATGGATGGTAATTCTTTCCTGGCCCTGAATGTGTCTCTCTTCTAAACCATGAAAAGCACCCAGACCATTGACTATAAAATCAGAAATACAGAGAAGTAAAGGCTCGGAGGTTTTGTGTTTCTCGTAGATCTTCTTAATTATTCTCATATGTTTTCAACACTAGTTTTTAAATTATGAATTTGTATTTACTCCGCTCATTTCTTTTGTTGCAAGAACGATTTTAGCAGTAAATTAAAGAGCTTTGATAAACTATGGATATGAAAATAAAAATACTACTTATAATACACTTCAATGAAAATTTTTATGAAACATTTATTTTTCCATATACATTGGGTTAAAACAAGTAGAAGACACAGCTTATCCAGGTTACCTAATATTGTTAATATTTAAGCAGCTCTCTATACCTCAAGGAGAGTTGATAAACCTTATCTCACTTGGTTTTCTTTCTCACTTGATTCTCTTATCAACCTGGTGAGCTAGATGTGATTTTTATCCTTGTTTTACAGATAGGAAAACTGAACTCTGCTCATGTGCTCCAACTGGAACAATATCTACTTTTATCTGTTTTATATTGGGCTTACATAAAATATTTTGTTTGAACAAAAAAGCTATGGCAAAAAAGGTTTGAACACCATTCATCTACACCATGCTATATATAAATACAGAGCTAGATTCTCCTGAGTTGTATCATTTCTATTTTCAGGAGGAAGTAATTTAAATTCATTGAAAACACAAAGTCTCTAAAATGCAGTAAGTTTCTAAAATACTCTTTGGAGCTTAAAACCGTTTTTTGAAACATATTTTTACTGCTCACATTTAAATTGCTTTGATTCAAATAAAATTGAAAATGTGTTCATTTTAGGGGCCGGCCCAGTGGTGCAGCGGTTAAGTTCGCACGTTCGGCTTTGGCGGCCCAGGGTTCGCCAGTTTGGATCCCGAGTGCGGACATGGCACCACTTGTCAAGCCATGCTGTGGCAGACGTCCCACATATAAAGTAGAAGAAGATGGGCATGGATGTTAGCTCAGGGCCAGTCTTCCTCAGCAAAAAAGAGGAGGATTGGTGGGAGATGTTAGCTCAGGGCTAATCTTTCTGAAAAAAAAAACAAAAACCAAAAAACAAAAAAATGTATTCATTTTAGCTTAAAAACTTCTGAAATCATGTTACCTTAGAGACATATAAAGTTACCCATGTTTTTAAATGGTGCATAATGAATATTATATTGCAAAAAATTATGTATATATAATGGTAAGAGGGACTTGACATGATTTTACAGTTTAAATTATAGGACTAATTGTTTGAGGGCAATATAGTATTATGACATTAAGAATAAGTAATATTTTACAAATTGAAACTAATAGATTTATTGCAAACTCAAAAATGAATTAGTAAATAATGTACACATTTGATTATATTTAGGCATGCATGCTTTGTGTTAAAGTATGTGTAGTAAAACACATCATTATACTTATCCAGTAATAGCTCTTGACTATGTTCTATTTCTAATTGACACTAGAGCTTTCTGTGTAAATAGAATATTAATAACATAATTTGTTGGCGACAGGAGTTGACTCAAGGTGGGAGAATTCTAATCCATAATATAACTACTTATGCTTCATTACGGAAGAATGATTTGGTTTCTCTCCCTTGAATAGGATGGATGTCCTCTCTGTGAGCGCTAAGACATCTAATCTTGATTACTCAATATGATTTGAGAACTTTCTTTTAATGCGCCACCTTGTGTTCACATTTTGAACTTCTCTCAAATAAAATGAAGCTAAATGTATCAGTTTGCGTACATTTATCTCATAACTAAACTGATTTACATCGTAAACACTCTCTTGAACTTTCTAGTAAAATGAGCGATAGATATAGAATTGTTATTTAAGAAATTAACTAGTATTTATTTAGTATGGTGTTAGTATGATACATTAATTAATCACAGTATTACTATCTCTATAGTTACTATTTTAAAAACGAGGGAAGATAACATTATTTTTATAAGAATGTAATGTGTACTTATACTTCTGATTTTTCAGAATGATAGAAAAATTTCTTTTTTTCCCCCAAATGCAAGTTTCCTAGGGTATCTGATTTCCTTCTTCAAACAGTTGCCATAATAGGATATTCTTAGAAGTCAGCCTTACACATCTGAGTATGGAAGAAAAGGTCACCTTTCAACCAAATAGATGCAAAAAAGAAAAGAAATGTCCATGAAGTAATCAAACCATAGCTTTATCATTAAGAATGTAGGTTTATTATTTAAAATAATGGGTCACTTGGCAAGTCCATGTGATTTAGAGATTTAGAGGTTTGATTATAAACGGCTCTGGGAGGGGGATGAAACAGAAATGCAGAAGAAAGCATGAAATGTTGCTCATTTATTACCCAAGGCAAAGAATAGGAGGTCTGGGTGAAATTGGTCAAAATCATTTGAGACAAAGTCAGGGTGTCACAGGAATGCCTAGAATTGGGGACGAAGTATGCTGATAGAGATATGTGTAAGAATAACTGTGTCTATCATATTTTTCCTTAAGTCTTTGAAGTTTTTCCAATATTAAAATTTTAAAAAATATCCTTCTAATCTAGTGTAGTGAGGTATTTTATTTCATTTTAATTTCCATTGTTTAAAGCAACAATTTGGTACCAAAAAGGTACTTTCTATTGTATTTCCTGGAATGTGTGTGTGAACACATATAGACACATACATACATACATACATACATATTTAGATGATCACAAAGTAAGAGTAATCGATTGTCCAAGGTCCAAATGAAAAAGTAAAAACCAGTCCTTACTCATATACACTATATGAGCCTTATCTATTATTCAGCTTTAGGATTGATGGGTTTTAGTCATAAAAAAACATATGATTATTTGACAAGAGTATTAAAAACAAAGTACCTTCTGCATCTCTTTACTTCCTCAGTGAACTTTTGGTAGCTGGGACATCAGTAAATTCCTAGGGCCCTTTGTGATTGCCAAGGTATATCTTGTTGAATTCTTATTTGTATACAGTTTCACTGCACCCAAGCACCAATATTGTGTTTGACACTGTAGTAAATCTGCAATAAATGGTGCAATAAATGGTTACTGTTATGATTTCAGACAATACCATGCTCTGGAAAGTGAAGAAAAGAAATAATTCAGTATCAGTGGACAAAATTCAGTGAAATGTATGCACGTAGATACACAAACAAAAAAATAGAAAAAGATTAAGACAAGGTTAAACACTCAAGTAAAACAAAAAGTAGTAGAAATTGAACAGTCTGCTCCTAATATTTCCAAATATAGAGAGCGGTGTGTATAGCTTGAGTCTGGAGGAAAAACTTTCTCCAATTAATTTCCTCCCATAGGTGGTTTTTCTTGATGTTTCTGAAATATAATCAAACTGCACTTTTAAGGCTGACAATGGAAATATATCAGTTCATTCTTTTCTTACATTCTCTTTGGGGAACGTCAGCTAGACATCTTTGTGATTGGTCATGCTTTGTGTCCACAAAGCCACCATGTGGGCTCATTCCGAACATAAAGGATGTTCAGAATGAGGCCATACTTCCCCGCTGGTTAAGCAGTAGACCAAGTTGTCTTCTGGATTGAGTGAGCCTAGGAGCAGTGGCACTAACAAATGCCTTTTGTCTGCTAGGCAGCGGCACCACGGATTGCATCGTGTTAGGCTTCATCAGCTACCTAATGCAATGTAACTCAGGAGATAAGATAAATCAAACAGATGACACTATATTAGATTTGAAAGATGAGAGCTCTTCCAAAGCAATTGCAGAGTGTATATTTCAGTGCTGTTGACTTCAGGAGGTTATTGAAGTCAGAAGTCTTTGCAACAAAACCAATCTTTTAAGAGCTGGGTAGCAAGGAAGCAGAGACATACTTATTTCTTCCAAAGAAAATGACTAGGAAAAGTGGAATTCTCCTTTGTATATTTGTTTTAACAACTTGTGGGCTTAATCTCATTTTTTAGTATATCACCAGCTTAGGTATCGGCTTCTTTTTTAATACGTCTCATTTGCAAATGTATACTAATCAGGAGAGATGGATTTTCCAGTTTAAGGATATTTTCATGTATTGCTAAATCATTTCGAGTGCAAGGGCCTAAAGCTCACTGAAATGGATTTCTTATATTTGTGACTCTATATCAGTAAATGATCATTCACTGTTACCTGAGTTGAGAAATTAATCTTTATTAATTAAGTGATTGATTCCTTTCTTTTTAACATTGTAAACTTTGCATTTTCTGCTTATTAAATGGAATGTCATAAATTTGATTTAGGAATTGGGAGATGGAAAAATGTTGTAATTGATTCCCCTCTCTTTTGTAGCCTACTGTGTGTGAACGAGAGCTGTGTGTATTTGCTTTTCAAACCCTGGGAGTAATGAATGAGGCTGCTGATGAAATAGCAACTGGAGCTCAGGTAGTAACACATAATACTAATTATTCCTTATTTTAGTTTGAAAAATTTAATCTAATCTGCTAGTTATCTTCACTCTGCTATTCTTTTGGGCAAATTTTTGATAGTTTTTTGTTAGATTGAAAAGGAAGCTGACATTTGATTTTTTTTTTTTTTTTAAGATTTTATTTTTTCCTTTTTCTCCCCAAAGCCCCCCGGTACATAGTTGTGTATTCTTCGTTGTGGGTTCTTCTAGTTGTGGCATGTGGGACGCTGCCTCAGCGTGGTCCGATGAGCAGTGCCATGTCCGCGCCCAGGATTCGAACTAACGAAACACTGGGCCGCCTGCAGCGGAGCGCGCGAACTTAACCACTCGGCCACGGGGCCAGCCCCTGATATTTTTAAGTAGAAGCTAAATTTTGCTATCTTTATCTCATGTGTGTTTTGTCATTTTACAATCGCCAAGGGGAGAAATTAAACCAACTTTCTATTGTTTGAAAAATAATTGTGGTTCTTCCTTAGATGGTGAAGTTGAGATATTGAAACCCTTGCACATGCATTGTGTAAAATTTATTTGTAAAGTTATAGTGCCATAAAATGGAAGCCAATTTATTTTTAACACTTAGGCGAGAAGATACTGGGCAGAACATATAAGAAAAAGGGAACATTCAGTTTTATAGTAGCAGTGTTTATGACATAGGAAGAAAAATATAAAAAGAAAAAAAGGAACAACTTGGAAGTAGAGAAGCATTCCGTGTTTCTGGAAGGAAAAGTTAAGTTATAGATATGCCAAAATTTACTTCATGCAATTTCATTAAAATTTCAGGGGTTTTTTTTTTCATTCATGGAAACTGACTAAATTACTAATTCTGTAAGAAAAAAAATCAGAGAAAACTTACAAAAAAAGCAAATATTAATTAATGGAGGCTAGACCAACCATATAAAAGAATATATCATGTAATCCTATAATATTTTAACAAAATATACTGTTGGCAAAGAGTAGAATGGCTGATTACCCCCAAAATAGATCAAGTTGTTAATACACTTAATATATATTAAAGTAAATATCAGATCAGGTCATAAAATAAAAATCATTTAGTAAGTAGGTGGGAGCAAATGATGTGGAGGGAAAATCAGTTTAGCTCTTTACTTGACACTTTGCAAAAACAAATTCCCAATGGCCTACAGACTAGTTTTGTGAAAAATATGATAGACAAACTAGAGGAGAGTTAAGCATGCACAATCTAGTAAGTGCTTCAGGTTTATGCATTTATGCAATTAAGAAATTATAAAGGAAAATATCAACAGACATGAGTCCATATATACTTCATGTTTTTTACTTGAAAAAAAGTGAACATAGAGAACTAACTATGAAAAAATTTGTTTTGCCTCAGACATAATTATATATAAAAGCTTGTAAAAATTGAGAAGAAAAACACGAAGACCATAACAAATTAATAGAGGAAATGAATTCGTGATTCACAAATATAGACCTATTGTTAGTAAAGAAACATGAGAAAATGTTCAGCTTCGCTAAAAAGCAACAGGGAGTCAAATGTAAAAGGAATTACCAATCTCTCATTTATAGAATTTGCAAAGATGGGTGGGAAAAATGATCAACTTGCAACAGACGTTCTTTCAATAAGTATCAATGCCTGCTAGATAACAGACTTGACACTGGATGGAGGTGCAGCAGCCCTATAGACAGCCCAGGGCCCCTGGATTTACATGCCCTTACCTAGTGATGTCGCTGTTAGCTAGACTCAGGTGCATCTGCTTGATGAAATATGAAGGACAACATTTGTGATATAGTGAGTTATAAATGAAACATAATACAAACAGTGGAACATTGATCATATGTGATGTGGAAAAAATGATTCCACAATTAAAATAAATTTCAGAAATACGGCTTGATATTGCCCCCTACACCCAACATGCTCATATTTGCATATTACAGGCTCTGAGAATCCCTAAAACTAAGCAAGTGACTGGCCTGTACTGAGGCAGTTTCCCAAACGTGTCTGACCCGGGTGGGTCTTTTTCTTTTCTTTCTTTTTCTTTTTTTAATATGAAAGTTTTTCTCACCCCTTGGAACTAGCATTGCTTAAAAAAAGATACCTTAATATATTCTATTTATAGCTATGTTAAAATAATTAAGCTTTACACAGATGTGTGTGTGAATATACATACATCTATATATATATGGATATGTATGTATGTGTATATATATATTAAAAATTCTTCAAGTAGTACAGTTAACGTTTGTGCATTTTACTGGATGTAAATGGTCCCTCAAACAATTTGAAATGGGAAGGAATTAAAGCCTGGAAATAAGAAATAATTGATTAGAAGACAGATTAACATCATGCTAAATGTAGGCTAGATTGATAGAATAGTATGTGCTTTTTCCCTCTTATTATAGATACATCTTTAAAAAAAGTTCTTAAAGAGGAATTAATTTTGGATTGCATAATGATAGGTACAAAGCACAGGTACCCGACCAGATCAATTTAGTGATTCAGCTCTAAAGTCCAGTATCCAAAAATCAGAATTTAGTCATTCTACTCCAAAGCAGAATATTCTTTTCACTACTTTAAAGCAGATGCCCCATTAGTCTAGTTATAATTCTAAAGATTACATGGAAACTGATTCTTTTTCTGGACAGAAAGAAACTATATCTCGGTAGTCTTGTTGCATCAACTGACTCCTGAATTTTAATTGGTGCTCTGAGGAGCTCTGGAAGTTACAAGAACGTTCTTTAGGGATGCCGCAGGAGGCTGGGCTGGGATGAGTGTCCAGGCAGCTGGGATTCCAGGCCCCTGAATACTGCTTCAACCAGAACAGCTCCATTTTCTTTCTTTAGGTTTTGGGTTGTCATATAAGATTCTCTTTCTTTAAAAAAAGAGTCACTATTGAAATGTTTGAAGGCCATTGGTCTACAATTTCAAGTTTGCCTCTTTTCCAGAATACATTGTATATCTGTAGGCCACACCTGTATGTGCCTTTCTTACCCACTTGAACTTGAATTTTCTCATTTGCAAGAGCTCCAAGGCCATTCACACCTGCAGGGGAGGGTGGAGGGTCTTGCTCTACCTGTTGAATTGTATGTAATGTCCTTTAGAGGCGCTTGATTCTATAAACCCTCAGACCTTTTATTTTCACTCATCAGATGGCCTAATTCCCATTTGAATTTAATTTAATATTTCTTTGCATTTGAATTTAATATTTCTTTGCATTTCTATCTTAAGTATCTTAGTAAACCTCCAAATTGCCTCTTCAATTATGTTATTCAGTCTAAGAAGAAAGATGTCTATAACTTGCTGGCTATGGCACTGACCATATGTGCTAAGATCCTATTCAGAATCTTTCATTTTAAATGCTGGGAGTGGAGAAATATATGATTTGGGGCAAAGGAAATCATAGTTGTGTGTTACCTTTTATTTTTTATCATAGATGTTTTACTCCGTCGAAAAATTAACACATGCAAATAGAATACAAATCGCAACAGTCTTATATAAACCTTTCATTGTTGGAAAATTCTGAATGCTAACTTCTGTAACAGATAAATTATAAAGTTATAGTGCCTTCAGATGAGAGACTTTTATTTCTCACTCATACAACTGTCCAATTGGAATGTTTGTTGGGCAACTTTCTGTGTGATGGTTGAAGGAACTGGACTCCATCCATTGGCTCTTCTGTCTTCAATATATGGCATATAGTAGAGGGAGAGAGAGAAAAGTGGAGAAGGTGCACCTGTTGGTTCATCAGCTTAGCTAGTCCCTTTCTACTCATGATCCATTGGTTGAAACTAGTCATGTGGCCTGATGTAGACAAAAGGGGTGGAGATGTCCTGTGCAGAGAAGCCACTTCCAGTCAGTAGCTCTACACCCTGGAAGCAAGGAGTGTGAGCCTGGGGTGGACAGCATGTGATTTCGCTGTGGCAGTTACACTATTTCTTTGAAGTTAGGTTAGGACATATATTAACAGAAAAATTCTACTAATTAAATTCTCTACCCCTACATTCATTATTTTGTTATAATTTACTTGAATCCACTAGCGAAATTATTGGCAAAACAATGCATATATATATATTATATTTTTGATTGTTTTGAAGCTTCTGGCACAAGGCATTTAATAAATATTTGATTGAAAAGGGAACATTGTTCAGGTTATTATTGTTTCCATTTGTACCTTTTTTATCCTTGTGGTTAAAAGACAACATAAAATTTACAATCTTAATCACTTTTAAGTGTATAATTCCATAATGTTAAGTATATTCATGTTGTAAAATAGATTTCCATAACTTTTTCATCTTGCAGAACTGCAACTTTATACCCATTGAACAACTCCCATTTTTTCCTCCCCCCAGCCCTGGTAATCACCATTCTACTTTCTGTTTCTGTGAATTTGACTACATTATATACTTCATAAGTGCAGTCATACAGTATTTGTCTTTTTGTGACTGGCTTATTTCAGTTTGCATGATGTCCTCAAGGTTCATCCACGTTGTAACAGGTGACAGAATTTTCCTTTTTTAGGCTGAATAGTATTCCATTGCATGTGTATACCATGTTTTGTTTATCCATTCATCCATCAGTGGACATTTTGATTGCATCCACCTCTTTGCTATTGTGAATAACGCTGCTATGAACATGGGTGCAAATATCTCTTCGAGACCATTCTGTCAATTGTTTTGGATGTATACCCAGAAGTGGGATTGTCACTTCCAGCAGGATCACATGGAATTTCTATTATTAACTTGTTAAGGAACCTCCATGGCAGTTCCACCATTTTCCAAGCCCATCAACAGTGCACAGGGTTCTAATTTCTCCGTTTGCTTACCAACACTTATTATTTTCTGGGGGTTTTTTTGATAGTAGCCATCCTAATGGCCGTCAGGTGGTATCTCATTGTGATTTTGATTTGCAGTTCTCTGATGATTCTTTCCATATGCTTGTTGGCCATGTGTATATCCTCTTTTAAAAAAAAAAAAAGGTCTATTTAGCTCCCTTGGCCATTTTTAAATCAAGTTTTTGATTTTTTTGTTGTTGAGTTGTAGGAGTTCTTTATATAGTCTGGATATTAACCAATTCTCAGATAAATGATTTGCAAGTATTCTCTCCCATTCCATTGGTTGCCTTTTCACTCTGTTGATTATGTCCATTGATGCACAGAAGTTTTTAAGTTTGATGTATTCCCATTTGTCTATTTTTGCTTTTGTTGCCTGTGCTTTTGGTGTCAGATCCAAGAAATCATTGCCAAATCCAGTGTCATGAAGCTTTCCCCCTGTTTTCTTGTAGGAATTTTATAGTTTAAGGTCTTGTATTCAGATTTTTAGTCCAGTTTGAGCTGATTTTTATGTATGGTGTAAGATAAGGGTCCAAACCACATTCTTTTGCATGTGGATATCCAGTTTTCTCACCATCATTTGTAGAAAAGACTGTCCTTTCCCCATTGAATGGTCTTAGCACCCTTGTCTAAGATCACTTGCCATATATGTGAAGGGCATGTACTTTTATAAAGCTTGAGTTGCCTATTATGACATAAAATTTTTAAACATCTTTATAAGATTGTACCAATTCTCCCTCCTAAAGTTTCAGAAAAGGCTATTTTATCTTAACCAATTATTCTTTCTCAGGAATTCTAGTTTGGGTTTTACTTTCATTAGGAGACCAGATAATGCTGGAAAGAATTTATATCTTGATTAAGGTGTATCTCTGGGTAGGAGGAGTGTGAGTGTGGGAGAGGAAAACAAAAAGGAGGGTTTTATTATGTCTTTATTATTATGTCTATTGCTTGGAATGCAGTTTATTGCATATATGTACACACACACACACACACATAAATGGAATATTTTCGTAGAAACATATTAGCTGTTTCCGTTCTACTGTTTTCTGAGTGAGTCCTGTGGGTGTGTGAGTCTGCGTCCTTTGGGATGTGTTATTTATAGATCATATACCCAATGGCTTGAGTGTTGCAAATTATTTTAGGTCACTGGAAATTCTGGATGCTGTGATTGGGTGGATGTGTTTTGTGAGTATACATACAACAAAGCGAGCCCGACTGTGATTAGGTCACAATACCCCTCTCGTTAACCATATGAATCAAAAATTGTCCTACTCTTATTGTCCATTTTTTAAATGCCCCTTTAAATACTTTCTAGAAACAGGTTTCCCTGTAAAGATTAAGTTGGCTGCTTCCTGATGAAGTGCCTTGTCTTCACACTGTGGATATGTCTGTTCTGGTGAACTTTCTCCATTAAGACAGATCAGTTTTCTTAATTCAGTTGCCAGAAGCATATTGTTTGGAGACTGGAGAGGAGAGCCGTGCCCTGAACTGCTCTACAGTCCTGCCTCTTAGTAAATTGTGCAAAGGAATCCTACGAGAACATAGGAATAAAACAATCACGTTTAGCAAATCGAAGGGCATGAATGGCCTTTGGCAGAGGAGAGCAGGAAGAAGTAGGATGATGTCAAATATACTGTTCTTCGAGCAGGTCAAACTCCTTTCCTGTATTTGCAGTTTCCTTCACCTGGAATGGTTTCTTCCCAGATAGTCACATGTACCCTCCCTCACTTCATTCAGGTGTCTCTTGAAACGTCGCCACCTCTCCTAGTCACTCTAAAACAGCACCCCTTACTGCCTTAGTCTCTAATGCCTACTTTATTTTTATAGCATTTAACACTACCAGAAAATGTATTTAAGTATGTATTTGTCTAACTGATTTTGTGTTATGCATCTTCTCCATTAGAATGTAAATTCTACTGGAGAAAGGACCTGTCTCTCTTGTTCATTGTCTTGCCATAGAGCCTGGACAATGTTAGCACATAATATGGCAAAGAGACGTTAGGACGTGGGTGATTGGAAGCAACACATTAAGTTAGTTACTTTAAATTAGTCCAATTTGGTCTAAAGCCACAAATTACAGGTTTGAAAGATTGACAGCAATCCTGAATCTTTCCTAATTTAATTACCATAAGAGGGAGAAACAATGGCAAAGCACTTGATAAAACCTAAAAGATAGTAACTATCTTATGTATGTGTTTCAAGGTGGTAGATCTCCTAGTGTCCATGTGTAGGTCTGCGTTGGAATCTCCTAGAAAAGTCGTCATTTTCGAGCCATATCCTTCTGTGGTAGATCCTAACGATCCTCAGATGCTGGCCTTCAACCCCAGGGTGAGTAGTTACCCCGTGATGGGAGCACACCTGTCATAAGTTTCCTTTAAGAGTAATTGAGATTTTAGTCTCATTAGCTTTCCTCTTTCTGTAAATCACCGTGTCCTCCAGCATATCCATGCCCTGTCATAGGCTCTGTATCCATTAGTAAATGTGATTCTCTTTCCACAAGCTTGATTTGCTTCCACTTCCAGTCTTCCACGTATCCTATCACTTCCCACATCCTTTCTGCTTTAAAGTCATTTTCAGAACTTCCTGAAACTGGACACATTTAATCCCCTCAAATTCTGATCTGTCCACATCCCATCTGTATGGAAGGTGATAAATAGCTGTAATAAATTAGTTTATAGTGGTCTATCTGATTATTTTAATTTCATTTTATATTTTTTGAGATTCTAACTTGTGTAACGTCATTTTAATCTTAAGTATCCTGGGTGAAAGGACAAATTTCCCTTTTTCTTTTGTATTTTTACTTCACCCTCCCTTGTTATCTGAAGGTTGGTAATACTTTAATTCATATTGTTGATCAGCATTTCTTGAGAAAAAAATTTTATAAATATTGATGAAGATTAGGGAGATTAGGGAGAATCCTTCTGAAATAACAAAGTTTTCAAATTTCCTGAGAGCTAAAATTGCCTTAGTCTCTATTACTATTCATCTTGAAATCATTTTATAGAATCAACGACTATGTAACATTTCCTTGGAAAAACTTTCCTTCCTTCATAAGTAGCAACAGTGTACATGTTTACATTATGCTTCAAAATGAATTATCAGTTGAGTGTATGGTGTCATTTCCACCTTTATTGGTCATACTCTTCTAATCAAAAGAAAATGAAAGCCAAGCAAAATTGTAAGATTTTGGATTTTTGTATTTTACAAGGATTCTATACCTAGTTTATTCATCATGGCTTACGTTTTTAGTGGTGAAAGTGAGAATCAGGAGCCCAATATCTTTTTTGTATTTATAGTTTTTCCTCTGTAGGTGAACATGATTTTATGTAATTATATTAGGACTGGCAATGGTTTCTTTTTTTTCTTCCTTCTGACTCAGTTCTAATTCCTATGTCCTTAAGCCATCTTATTAAAATCTTCTCTTTTATATTCACAACACAGTCATTGCTTTCAAATTGACCCTGATGGAAAAATTTACATACAGAAACAATATGTTTCTCTAGTAATGTGCGGACTTGCAAAGGCTTATAGTGAACACTATGTTTTCCCCCATTCGAACAGAAGAAGAACTATGATCGTGTAATGAAAGCACTGGATAGCATAACTTCCATTAGAGAAATGACACAAGTAAGTATATCATCTGTGGTCTTGTACAGTTCAATTTTGCTTGAGTAAAATCATATTTTAAAAATGTCCAAGAGGTAAAAAATGTCTAAGAGTACTGGCCATGTAGTGAAATGAAGACTTTTCCATTATATGGGAGTATAATTGAAATCATAAAAAATTAAAATTGTGCTCTGCTAGAATGTTTTAATTAAATTACATCAGTGTATTGGCATGCTACCACTGTGACTTTTGGAGGGAAATTGCATAATTATAATCCTAATGCTCTGCTCTCAAACTCAGCAAGAGTTTGAGTACGTGGAGGGATGTTGGACTATCTTAAGGCAAAGGTTAAATCTTGTACCATCTTCTTAGACAGTCGATTTTAATTAACGGTAGAAATTTCAAAACATCATGTTAATGGTAAAATAAAAACAAATATTCTATCAAATGCAAACTGCATGAGAATATTTTAGATAGAACACAGAATCTCAAAACAACTCTGGTAGACGCCAGCTTCCCGAGAGTATGAGTTTATGTTTTTACCCCTTAGGGAGGCTTTGATGGAAAAGTTTGATGAGCAAGGATCAGGGTTTATTATGGGAGTGTAGCATCACTGGGCTGCGGTCCAGCGCTTGGAAAAGCACTTGCTGTTGAATTATTGAGACCTTTTCACTGCCAAAGATTTGGAGAGAGCTTTAAAACTCATCATTATTAGTAGAAATTAATAATCTTTAATTGACAGCAATACGCATTATGGGTTCCATTTGCATATGGTGGTTTCAAGGCTTGTACTGCCCTAGAGACCCTTGCAGGTTTATAATGAGTATTACCTTGGGTCATTTCCTTTCTCTGGGGAAGGAAGAGTGGATTCCTCCTGTCTTGGGGCCCACAGAGCTTCTGCACCAGTCCCCCCTCCTCCCCTCCCATCGTCTCTACACTGTTTGCAAATGTGCTCCTAAAGTATGTTCTTAACATTCCCAAATTTAATTGTTGTCTTTTTTTTTTTTTTTGGTGAGGAAGATTGGCCCTGCGCTAACATCTGTTGCCAGTCTTCCTCTTTTTGCTTGAGGAAGATTCTTCCTGGGCTAACATCTGTGCCAATCTTCCTCTGTTTTGTATGTGGGACACCGCCACGGCATGGCTTGATGAGCAGTATGTAGATCCATGCCCAGGATCTGAACCCGCAAACCCCAGGCTGCTGAAGCGGAGTGTGTGAACTTAATCACCCTGCCGCTGGGCTGGTGCTGATTCTTGAGTCTTTTGATATTATTTATTCATGTGGTCAAATATTCATTCATTCAACAAATAGTATGTGTCAGACATTGGTTAATGAGAAATCTTTTAATTCATGTTAAATTATTTGCTTAAAACCCATCATGCTTTCCAGTTGTTTTTCTATGCCCATACCTTTCTGTCTTACCCAAATTCCTTTCAAACAAATATTTATTATTTGTATAAGGAAAAGAAAATAATAAAATGCGTTTACACTTGGGGGGAAAAAAAAGAACTTATTGCAATATTTTACACAAAATTAAGTAAACATTTTAGTCAACAAAGACTTTGGTATAGGGTATTTATACTATACTCTAGAAGGAGATCATTTTGCATTTAAAAATAGCTGCAAAACTCTGATCAGCTCTCTGCCAAAATTGCTTTCTTTATTCTGGGTCATGTGTAAGTTATTTTAATAGGAGGCGATTGAGTGTCAGCCTCAGAAGTTAGAGGCCCATGTTGTATAATTCACTCATCAATGATGTGGCCTGTGACCTTGAACAAGTTGCTTAATTGCTTGATGCCTCAGTTTCTTGACTGTCAAAATGGTAAATGGTAATGCTGCACCCTCTGTCAGCGTACATTTCATACGGATGCTGTCAAGTTCTACTGTGTCACATTCTTTAAACCTCTTCAAATAAATATAACGCTATACTGCCCTATATTCTAGAATGTACTCCCCTATAGATAGACCTAAATTGTCACGGAAAGATTGCCCTTTGTTCTCTGAAAAGCTTAACTGGGTAAATTCCATTAAATGTTTTAAGAAAAAGAGCTCTTCTTAGGTAAATTTTGTTCAGGCTTCTCTTGTAGAGATCTGTACCTAAGTCAGTATCCTCAGATCTGAGCAGGAGTAACCGCTTTACAAGTTTTGCTTTGATGTTAGTTGAAAAACAGTCATTGTCAAAGAGACACGCACGGGACACTTGTTAAAGGTGGCAAGACAGATTTTATTTGAGGACTGCAGTAGGGGAGAGAGACTGCAGTGTGAGCTGAGCTCACCTCCAAGTAGGACAAAGGTGACTGAGGTTCTTAAAGCGAGAACAGAAAGCCGCCATGGAGAAGTAAAAACAAGGGGACTGTGTGGAAAGGGAAAATACAGAAGAGGGATAAGTGGAGAGTTACTGAAAGGTTAGCAGTGTGCATCGGTATGACATACCTTTTGTGGTTTGGCACCGTTGGGTTTTCTTGAACAAAGACTCAGCCGGGAGCCTGGGATCATCTTTAGGGACGTGGCCTCCTACGTGGGAGCCAGGCTGAAGTTTGATCAAGCCTAGTAGCAAATGTGTGGACGAGTTCTTTGTGTTGCCAGAAGTTCAGAGTTCACACCATGGGGGCTCGGGGGGTGCAATTAGGGTAATTGTCGCTGTCACCATGTCACAGCCACAGATTTTCAAGTTTAACTAGATTAGGCATACCAGTTCAATCTGATTTTCCTTTTGCAAAAAAGAAATAAAAAAGAATTTTTAAGAAAAATGAAGAACTGTAATGACTTTTTTTCAGGCACCCTATCTGGAAATCAAGAAGCAGATGGATAAACAAGACCCCCTTGCTCATCCCCTGCTGCAATGGTATAAAATTTTAATTTTCCTCTTAATGAAAACAGCATCATTTTCTACTGCCTGCTTTAAGGGAAAAAAAAAAAAAAAAAGCCTATTTCCCAAGACCTGCAATGCTACAGTTCTACAAGCCTGTGAGGCCTGGTGATTTTATAATCCAAGAGTCCTTAAATGACTCTCACTTTAATTAAAACTTGTACATCACAAGGGGAAGAAAATGCTGTCCTGTGCACTACACGGGTAGGCAATGTATTTGACGGCAGTTTGTCTATAGTTTTAAAAAATGTGATTAACTGGATTCCAGGGTGAAGCGGTTTTGGTTCATTTATTTTTCTCGTTAACTGAGGGCTGAGTGATAAAACTCACTGTTTCAGTACTTAGTACTGAAAATCTTTCTAAAAGGTATGTCTTGTGTAATTTCCTTCCCTAACAAGGACAGCATAAATTTGATGAACTCTTTGTTTGATGACTGCAGATGATGCTCTGTTTCCGACTGAGCCTGGGGAGGGCCGTAGCATTAGTCCAGCACGGGTCCTGCAAGGAGGGCCAGACCAGGAACAGGACAGGTGGACTGAGAGCGCCCCTTGCTACACGTGCTTCAAGTAATTTACCCTCTGGTTTCTCATTTGCAAAATGAAAACAGTCATACCTACTCACCCTTCCTCTGAGGGTTTTATGTACCTCTCTCTTTGAAATCACTGAAAACTCAAAGGCTATGTTTACCACGATTACCATGCAGTAATACAAATGTAAAGACTATAAGAGATGGATCTGATTGAGTACTTATTCCATACCACAACAAGGAAGTTTTTAAAAAGTATATAAAGATGGGCGAAGGAGAAAGAAGCTGGCCACCTCATCATTCTGGTACTCAACTTTCACTCAGTCAAAACTTTGCAGTACGCATTTAATTTAGTCAAATGAGACCATGACAAAAATTAGGTTTACAGGTCTTTGTATCTTTTATGATCTATTATGAAAATTCTCACTAGTCAAATAAAATAACACAGTTTTCATTTTAACTTTTTAAATTCTCACATTGTCGTATTCCAAATGAAGGTAAAAATTTCAAGTATCTAATCTCTTTCTTATTTCCCTGAAGTTAACCTGTCAACTTTTAATTATTTGGGATCATTTTTTTCAGCTTGTTAGTCACTCTTTCAAGGAAAAGAAAGTCTAACAAAATGTTTTACAATTTTCCCAACTTATTATTTTGTATATGGAAAAGCATTAAATAATGAGTTCTTTCAGATACCTGAATTCAATTTTTTCAACTTCGGTGTCTAAATGTGTTGAATAACAGTTTGTATATATAAATTATTGTACAAATCAGCCCGAAGAGATCCTCAAATATTTAAAGAAAAGGACCTTTATAAAAACTCGTTCCTAAATAAGCATTGTAGGGAGGAGCAAAGGAAGCAGAGGTATGAATCAACTTCTGATCTTTGTGTTTAGATTATCCCTATTTGAAAGTATATCCAGAGATGTTCATTTTGCTGATATTTGAGATTGAGATTATTAAACATTATATCTTCTTAGGTTTTAAGGAAGTATTTCTCTGTTTTTTTCAGATTATCTTTTTTGTTACATAAGCTCTTAATTGTTTGAGGAAGCAAAGCAAAATAATATAATGTAATTATTTTGTAAAATTATTATTCAGTTTAGTTCATGTCACTGCAAAAATAAATTTAAATCCCTTGCGAGCTAAGGAAGAAACTTTATATTTGGCATATATTTGTGACTGATGGATTATTTTAATTAATTTCAGGGTTATTTCAAGTAATAGGTCACATATTGTGAAACTGCCAGTTAACAGGGTAAGTCGTTTTTTCACATATACGAACAGAAATGGGAGGAGTTCTTATTGGTTGGGAGAACTGACCCGTGTGGTTTTTAGCCAGCCTCTGCAGGAAACTGAAGCAGACTCAGCATAAGCCTAATTCTTCAATTTGAAATTGCCATATGTGCACCAGCTCCAAGCTGTTCCAAGATATCAAATTCAAATTCAGGCTGCTACCCTGAACTTCTAAGTAAATAAGAGTCAATATGAAATCGTTTAGTTATTCTACAAGTGATAGAAAGTATATTATCTAGAGGCCGGCCCCGTGGCAGAGTGGTTAAGTTTGCCCACTCCGCTTTGGCGGCCCAGGGTTTCGCTGGTTTGGATCCTGGATGTGGACATGGCACAGCTCGTCAGGCCAGGTTGAGGGGGCATCCCACATGCCACAACTAGAAGGACCCACAGCTAAAAAAACACAACTATGTGCTGGGGGGGATTTGGGGAGAAAAAAGCAGAGAGCAACAAAAGAAAAGAAGGTTGGCAACAGTTGTTAGCTCAGGTGCCAGTCTTTAAGAAAAGAAAAAAAAAAAAAGAATATTATCTAGAGATTGACCAGAGGAAGGTAATGTGCTTTTTATCATTGTCAGTTTCATGTTGGCACAGTTCCACTTTTCTATTTCGAAGAAGATGTTGCCTCCAGATATCTCCCTTATCAGCCTAATACGCTTACAAAATAAAAAAAAAGCTAATGGACTCTGATCTCAGTTCTGATCGTCATCTAAGAGCAGGATCTAAAATCTCGACTCTCCTGTCTGTTGGGAATCTCTAAACTGTGAGATTCCTCTGTATTGTATTTTTATATGAGGTTATTCCTAGGTGAAACGGCAGCATTTAGAAAATGTTTGTCAAGCAACTAATCCAAAAGGTTCTGATTTTGTTTCTTTCCATGAACAAAGGGTAAAACTATATTTGAATGTAGGCAATTTCTAATTTTATAAATATATGCAAATAAAGCATAATGATGATAATTTTTGCAATTTTAATATCTTGAATTAACTTTTCTGCTTAGCAAACTCTCAGAATATTTCCCCCGTTGAATAGCTAGTGTATACTTAGGGAAATCAATAATGAAAATCTTAAAAAGAAATGTAATTAGGAAGCAGATCTGCTTGAATGTGATTGATTACATGGTGTATTCCAAGCTAAGTATAAATGCCTTTGGATTGTCTGTCTCCTGTTCCTTTTCCATCAGCCTAAAGAATTACCCTTTGTATCAGCAATTCCATATGATTTATCATTTATGCAGGTTTTTTTTTTAAATGAATGGTCCTGTTAATGTGATTAGCCTAAAATTACTGTGGTTTGAAACTAGATAATTCTTAATCCAGTAAAATCTGAAATCGTCAGCAGCCTGATTATATGTTAAATTTGACATGTTTTCATTTGTCGTTGTTTTAAACGGCAGCAATTGAAGTTTATGCATACTCCACATCAGTTCCTTCTTCTCAGCAGTCCACCAGCCAAAGAATCCAATTTTAGAGCTGCTAAAAAACTCTTTGGAAGCACCTTTGCATTTCAGTGAGTATGGCTTAATGTTGATGGGGGTGTGTCTCCGTCTCAGTCTTCCATAATGTGTGGGGAGGAAACCATTCTCTTTTAGTAGTTGGCTATTAACACTGAAGAGTGTACTACATAATACTTGACTTGGAAACTCAGAACTTTCAGAAGGCGCCATGACTTATTATATTGTGACCACATTGAAAGATCACTGATTTTTGGTTTTGCCTTTTCCTTCTCCACCTCTGTGTTTTAGTGGCTCACACATTGAAAACTGGCACTCCATCCTGAGGAACGGTCTGGTTGTTGCTTCTAATACAAGACTGCAGGTAAATTCTCTGAATGCTTTGACAAGCCTTCATTCTTCTTCAGTCTTGGAGTTCAGTAAGCAATCCTGGTGTTATGTTTTTACTTGCAAAAGGGGAAGCCTGTAAGCTTCAAATAATTACCTGGAATTCTAATGGGCATAAATGATTTTCATGAAATAACCAAAGCAGAATTGATCTATACACAGTATAAGGATGAAAAGAAAAAGAAAATTGAGTTCCCTGTAAAAAAAAAATCATAAAATCACTTTGAACTTAAGTAGAAAAAAATCATCATTGCAAAAAGTAAAACCATACAAGCATTTTGACTGCTAATTCAACACACATTTCTCGAGCTCTGCCTCGGTGTGAATACTTTAAGAGAAGAACTGATAGAGCTAAGAATAAACAAAGTGGAGAATGGACCCCAAAAGGCCATCTGCCACCTGCTTCTCGGCCTCCAGGGCAGCACTGGGAGTTAGCAGGACGTCCTGGATATAGTCCCCATCCTTCCTTTATGCCCTTCATCTCCAACGTCCCACTTCACTCTCCGACAGCTGGTTTTCATCTGACGATGTAAGGAGATCAGGAAATAAGATGCTCACCTGTGCTAGGTCTCACACTCTGATGGCAGGTCAGATGATTCAGTTGAATATAAATGTCAGTAAATGCACATTTATTGAATTAATATTCAGTTCGTACTACATAGAGTACAAGGGCCTTAGAACATAGAGATAATAAGAGAGAATTTTAATTGTTCTGAGTACAGTAGTTTCTTAGACCAGTCGAAGAGTTTTAGTTAACGAAACTCTGTAACTTGAAAATTTTAGAGGACTATAAGAATGGGTGTTGTACAATGGCAATCTGAATAGGATACTTTGTTGATAGACTAGGATGTGAGTCCTAATCAAAATTCTGTCACATATGTTTCAGCCTGTTTTGTTTTCAGAATTTTAGATTCATTAACGAAAACGCCTACTGCCGTGTTTTCTAATAAGTGACTCTCTTTGTCATTGGTAGAGTGGAAAACCTTTATCAAGGATTTTTTTCTCTGGCTATCGTTTTCCACATATCAATGCACTCTGAATTTTAACGACAAGGATCTAAGTACTCTTTTCAAATTAGATCTTTGAATAAGAGATTTATTATTTTCTGAGTTAATGCAACAACATGAGACTGATTGCCTTCTTTTGTAAAAATGCTAACATTTGAAACCGTTGACTGACCCCTTTCTCTCCCACCTCTTCACATTTTAGCTCCACGGTGCAATGTATGGAAGTGGAATCTATCTTAGTCCAATGTCAAGCATATCATTTGGTTACTCAGGTAAGCTTGTGTTTGACTTCTCACCTCAAATTTATTAGGTTTTTAATTTTTTATTGTCGTATATTCCAGGCACAGTATTCTATTAAGTGAGTGAAGCTTATTTGGTATATTTTTATTAAATTCATTTGATAAATGTCAGAAGTGAAAACTAAGCTCACATGTCAAGATGAATTTATGATACTTGTCCTAGTGGATAAGATGGAATGTGTGTTTTGTCAATTTCAAAATGAATTTTAATTTTGTTTCAGTAGTTTCTGCATTTATTCCATCCACAAGTAAATACAGAGAATATAGTATATGCAAATCATTAAGTAAAGTGCTGAAAAGTATACATACATATTAATCCACTATCATTGAGTGTAATTCTATATCCTGCCGACTTCTAATATTTGGATTATTATATATCCCATAAAGAAGTTTTGAGCACTTTGGAAAATTTAGGATTAGAAAAGCACCCTCAAAGCCATCTTACTTATTGACAACTTCTTGTTAATATTTTGGTGAGATTGTGTAAAAAAATTATTCTGGAATAAATTGAAACCATGTGCTGAGGAGGAGCCTAGTAAATCCAAAATATGGAAAGAATGATCACCAAATTATTAGCATTGATAATCCTCAGGTGGTGAAATTTGGGATGATTTCTTCTTTACACTTTAAAATTTTTTGGAATATTCCACAGTGATCACTGTGAGTCTTTAGAACAATAACTTATTCTGTTTAAATATAAAGTAATTATGCCTATTGTAAAGAAATTGAAACTATACAGAATTGTATAAAATAACAAATGAATTTTTTGTTATTTTTCACAATCTCAGTGTTTAGTGTATTTCCCTTCAGACTTTTAAATGCTTTTATATTCATATTCCTGCATATGTAGTTGGTTTTGCTTGTGTGCTCATATGTGTGTGCACTCCTATGTGTGTATGTGGTTATATGATGACATAACTTCAGAAGATGTCATTCACATGATGTCTGGGTGGTAAGTTTCAAGATCCTCATATTATAGAAATGGATACTCAGAGAGATCCAATAACTAGGTGAATGTTAACAGGCCTACCTGTCTAATTCCTTCGCCCAAGTTCATGCTCTTTCACCACAGCAAGTTGTTTTTCAGTGTTCCACCCAACCCTTTCCAGAGCACACATCCTAAGAGCACCAGGTGGACTCTGTTTCTTTTCTGACCACCTCAGAGGTCACATGGTGTCACTTCCCACGTCCAATATTGGTCCACCCAGTCACAAGCCCATCCATATTCAAGGGTTAGGGAATTAGATTCCGTCTCCTGTTGAAAGGGTGGCCAAGTCACATTGTAAAAAAGCATATGTGTTGAGAAATATTGTTGCAGTGGTCTTTGAAAACACAGTATGCCAAAATAATAGTAAGAAAATAAATACCAGGAAGAATCAGACAGTGTAGGAAATAGAGTAACATAGTTCAGTGGAGAAAACAAAATCAGCATAAATCAGACTCTAAATCTTATTAAAACAGAACACAATAAAAAACTAATATAAAACCAGTTTAAAGAAATAAGTATATCTTTAGTGTGGCTAAGGAACATCATCAAGTTCTGTCATTTTTTGTTTTTTGTACTGGTGTATAGACTCCTTAGATGGGTTCATGGAAAGGATTGTGGGAGATACAGAAGGATGTAAAATTTGTCTATGGGAATGTTCATTTGTCTGGGGCCAGGGTCCATTGCTTTCATCAAATTCTTCAAGTGTCCTTGATCTGAAAAAAAATTTGAGAAGCACTGCAGTATGATAAGGGAACTTCACAGTTGGTTTTGAGGACTACGAGTCTAGAGAGTAGAGAACAGAACAGTCTCTTTGTGTATGATGGCCTTTGTCTTTCCCTCAGAGCTGTGTGTCTGAAACCCTAGGCCTGCTCCTCAACCTGACCCCACGCACCTCTGTCCCTTGGGGTGGATGTCTGACTTAGAGAGGGTTATGGCCACACCATTTGCAATTTGGTCCACAGGCCTTGCCGTTTCTCCTTAAGCCTTCTTTTGGAACAGCAATCAAAAAAATCAACATACTTCTCAACCTCAGGACAGTAGATGAGCATTTTCAAATAAAGTATGGCTACAAATCTACCTATTCTGAAACAGATACTAGTTTTAGTTCTGTTCTGTCTAAACTATTTCACAGTAAAAAATCATGGCATTAACAGAGTATAAACTAAGACTTGCGAGTATGATAGACAAAAGCACTTATATAATTTTCGTTTATTAGGAGAAATAGTAAATTCTACATAGAACTGAGCATATATCAACAATTCACAAAGTTAAGTTGCAGTGTAGATAGATTTTTCTGATACTGTTTGTATTTCCCATCCCTTTGCTAAGCAGGTGATAAGAATGAAAGTTAGATTCTAAAAGCCTTTCAAACCAAGTTTTAAGCATTTTCTAATAATATCAGTTTTATGCAAGAGAATTTCGTATCCCTGTTTCAATGCAAAGAAAAACAAACTAGATTTTCCACTCTCTAATTCAATGAGGACTTCCAAAACCCACTGACTTTCCACCCCAGGTGCTGAGGGCACAGCAGCTGCTCCCATTGTGACCATCTGTGGCCTGATGCAATCAAACCTTTCCTAAAGTGGAACTTTGCGGTGTAGATGGATTCTATTTTGAGTTGCATCATACAGCTTTGTTCGTAAATTGTTATCTTGCTGATGTTTTCAGGGATGAACAAGAAGCAGAAGGTGTCAGCCAAGGATGAGCCAGCGTCAAGCAGTAAAAGCAGCAGTGCCTCTCAGGTGTTGTACCGACTCAAGTGGCCGTGTATGATGAGTGAACTCTAGCTTCATTCGCCAGCAGGACCTCAATAAATACTCAGGCTTTTTAAGTCTGCAAAATTATTTTAAGTGGTCATTACTCATGAAGTAATAAAACTCACCCTAAAATGCAATAACCAGAATGCCTTTATTCAATAAATATTCAATAAGTATTTATTGAGCTCCCACTATAGTGCTAGAGACTCTCCTAGGCATTGGGCTGCAGTGATGATCAAAAATAGACAAATCCACTTGGAGCCTACATTCTACTGAGTGAATATAAATATATATTTAGATAGAAAGAATGCTAGGTGGTGGTAAATATTAATGGAGAAAAATCAGGGGAAATGCATGTTGAATGCTATGGGATGGAAGATGGAACCAGAATGAAATGGGGTAGTCAGGAAAGGATTCTCTGAGAAGATTATATGTGAATAAAGGCCTATAGGCAGTGAGCCGTATGGCTCTCTGGGAGAAAGAACATTCCAGGTAGACAGAAGAGCAAGCACAAATCCTTTGTTGTTTTAGAGAAAGTAAATATTCTGGACAAATTAAAAATCCATCTGATGAATACTGTGACTTTAAATTAAAAAGAAAAAGGATAGCCAATTTAATATCTAAAAACAAAAACAGAACCTCAGATTTTCTACATGAGATGGTTCTGAAACCTCTGTGGCTTAGTTAATGATGCTATAAAAATGGGTTGGTTTTGGGTAGTTAGATGATCTGGAATAATTGGTTTTAATGTTCGAAAATATCATGCAACTTTAATTTTGTTTCCCTTGAAATAAAGATGTCAGGCTTCCAGTAAAAATACATTTGGGTTCTAATTCTATGTTGTGAGGCTGTTGAACGTTAATTTAGCATTTTTCAGTTCACTTATCTTGAGAGTGATTTAATAATGATTATATACAGAAATTAGACAATACAACAAATATAACTTGACATTGAGAGAAAATTCCAGGATATTTGCTACTAGTCTAGATAGGCTTTTTTTTTTTTTTTTTAATCTGGAGCTATCTTAGTAACCGTTATTTTTAATGATGATCAGTTTTTTTTCAGCAACTGCCCTATTTTTATTCTAATTTTTAAATTCTTTTGGAACTTAGTCACAGAAAAAAGGACAGCAATCTCAGTTCCTGCAAAGCCGTAACTTAAAATGCATAGCCTTATGTGAAGGTAAGTTGAACGTTTTACAAACCTCATAGTATTAATTCTCTGTCTTACCTATCTTTAAGAATTCAAGTGTATTTACAGAATGCTCATGACGGAGTAGTGGAAGCACTATTCTTTATGACCATCTCTAAGGGCACAAATGGAAAACGGGTGCGATAGAGATCATAGAGGTTAAAAATCAAAGAGGAGAATTGGCAAGAATTCAGATAGAGCAATATTTTATTCTTGGCAGATCTTTCAGAATTGTAATTATGTCTTTCTGATGAAGTATTGCTTATCTCTCTTGTTAATATACCACCTCCTCTTTGAGTTGGTTTTTGAATGTATAATACCTTGAAAAATCTGAAAGATAACCAAGCAGTGAGAAGATAACCCAATAGGTCTTTCTGTTCCTACACTGAAATCATTCTTTTATTCCAAACTTAGGACAGAAAAATTGATAGGCGATTTGCAAGATCATATAGTTTTCTTTGTTCTTGCTTTAAAATCTCATTTTAGCTAAAAATGCATTTTTTCTTCTTATGTTGGGAGTTTCAGTAGCCATGGTTAACCATCTTTGAAGTTTTCAACACTTGATGGTTAAATAAGACACGAGGTTGCTTTCTGCATAGTTTCCAAGTGAGGACCTGTTTGCTTTTGATAATACACAAGTGATTTCCTTCCTGTTGTTACACTAATCACGTTCAAAACATAAAATTGTTACATGGCATTTTATTGTATTTATTTTCATTTCTTGATAGCTAATAAGGTTAAACATTTTCCATATATTAATTTGTGCATGTATTTTTGCTTTTAGATTTCTAAGAGAAGGGATATGGTTGCTTAAAATAAAATAGTTCTGTAATGTTATCTTCCACCCGCAGTGATCACCTCACCTGACCTGCACAAACATGGAGAGATTTGGGTTGTCCCGAATACTGATCATGTCTGCACACGATTCTTTTTTGTGTAAGTGTGAAGGCTCAAATGTGTCTGTTACTATCTTCTCCATGAATGAGGTAGTAGTGACACTACATTGTTATTTAGGTTACTTTAGTGGCGAATATATAGCAGACAGGCAATTTCTACTCAACTTAGTGTTTTTGTTATATTTTCGATAAGCTATAAAAAGCAAAGTGACATTTAAATGCCGTTAACTTAGAAAAACTGGAGAAAAAAATCTCTTTAACCATCTATCTGTTGTGTGTATATGTATATGTGTGTATATATATATATAAAGATAGATGTGTACACACCTATACATATATACACTTTATAGGTTTTTAAAAAACTAGAAGTGGGAATGGAGAAAACAATAATGAGAAGGTCCTGTCCCTATAAAAAGTTGATTTACGTTCCATATAATATAGGCTGGCAATGCAGGGCATATTGATGTGGATTCTTTGACACATCTGTATCGTAAGAGCTGCATTAAAATATAAAAGCATTTGTTTTAATCTCTAAAGAATGAGTGCAGTAGGTCTGTCTGGTTTTCTCCCCACCCTTGCTTGACTCCCAACCTTTTTCCTATGCCTGTTTCTTCTTCATCCATGGTCCTGTCACAGAAAAGACCTCGGGGAACAGTTGAGTATATCTGTTTTGTACTTTTATGTAGTTTTCTAAAAAGAAGCTGGAAAAATGCACTGGCTTGTTTTATAAGCCATGTCAAAATAGCTACATCAAGATCTCTTCGATATATACTGTATCCATAGCACGCTATGCCCACAGCATCTGATCTGTTAGCTTATTGTTATTTGTAATGAAAATTTTGTGAACTACCTGGTTTTATTTTGGATGGTATGAAAACTGTGACTTTCTTATGATACAGATTTATGTATTATGTATCTATGTATCTTCTATGTTTATGATACAAATTAATACATAAATTACATATTTGAGACATATACGTATCTATAGATTTCTTTCTTAACGGCGAGGCAGCAGTGAGTATTGTGGAAGGAGCCCCGCTTTTGATCAGACAGTTTGTGTCCAGGCTCACCAGTTACTAGTAAGGTGACGTTAGCCAAGTTGCATAACCTCCATAAGCTTCATCAGTAGGTAGAATGTTGTATCATCTATAGATACAATAAAATAAGATATCTACCTGTGTCAGTCAGAATCCCAACAGGAAACCGATGGCTTTTGATAAATATGATCATTTCTATCATCCACAAGTAGATTACTTACAAAGGTGTGGTTACAGGGGAACCGCAGGTCTTAGGTCTAGTGTAGTAACGTGGATCTAGTGGCGCCAGAGCTGTTATACATCCCCAGGTCCAAACGGACAAGAACAAGAAGCAGTGATCAGAACATGGTAGGAGAAAGCTTTCTAGTTCAGTGGCTTTGAATGGAGTCATGGTCTCCCGTTGAGGGACTTAGGCATCCCAAGGGTCCCTTATGGGGCTGGAATCAAGGGAAACCTTGACCTTGCCCTTCTGCCAGTGTCCTTCTGTGGCTCCCCATTGGTCAAACCCTACAAGAAATTTGAAGACAAGGAAGCATATTGACGGAGTCCATATAGGTCAGCTTACTGGGGCAGAATGCATGGTAGAGAAGGGCGCCATGTGACTCTGGAGGCCCTAGGAAAGCTGGCTGCACACTACTTTTGAAGGTTAATATTTGGATTAAGTTTACACAATGCAGATCTCCATGGAAAGGCACTCATTAGATATTTTTTCCCTGCTGCTTTCTTGACCATCTTGACTATTATTCACTGTTCAAAGATCGACCTTCCAAAAGACACCTCCAGTCACAAAGTTATTCCATTGAGTAACCTTAAGATTTTGACAGAAAAGTAACTCCAAAGTCCTTCCTTAGCCTGACATTAATCAGTTAATCTCCTCTTTTTGGCATCTTTCTAAAATTCAAATTTATTGAGCAAAGTGAACAGCTTTAGATACGTAAGTAGGCAGTAAACATTTCTAGTATTATTTCCTTGAAATTTTACATAAATTGCATGAGAGATAAATCTGTAGGGATATACGTTTGGGTGTGTATGTGTGTTTACTGGAGAGAAGGACTTCTACATTTTCTAAGAATAAAAAATGGAGGAAAGACTATCTGAAGAAAAGAGTGTACTTTCAGTACACTCATACTTTCCAGATAATACAAAGGAAAAAATTCTATTAAGATAATGATTTTCATCTCTCTATAAACACAAATGAGATTTCATCCTTTCTCTCTGCTCCCTCAAGAGAGAAAGGACTAATTAAGGAAAATTGATAAGATTCAAAACACATCAAAAGGAGAATCCATTCACTAATTAATATACATTCTAATTACAACCATCAGTTTCTTTCTTTATAAAAGATATAATCAAAGATTTCTACTAGTATTGTGCCTCCCTAGTGAGTGATAACATCTAGGAAAGAATAAATTGATAAGAAAGAAATTAGTTATCCCAGATGTACCGTAATCAGACGGAAACTCATTTGCTATTCTTATTTTATTCTAATTTTTTTTTTTAACAATATGTGATCTCTTATGTTAGAAGCTTGGCCTGATGACTAGGATATAAATCAGTGAGGCTTCCTTTTTTATCTAAGTGAAAATGTTAAAAATTAAAATAACTTCTATGCTAATCTGATTTCCAGAGTGAAGGAGATAATAAAAGTCATTTAGTATCCTTATCACATTCTTTCCCAACAAATAAACACCATCACAGAATGAGAGAAAAATTGGGGGGAAATTTTAGGTAACACACTGCTGTCTCAGAAAAAATTGAAGGTAAAATTTAAAGGAAGATTTCTGTTATAAAAAAAAAGGAAGGAGCCAGCCCAGTGGCGTAATGGTTGAGTTCTCATGTTCCAATTCATGGATTTGGATCCTGGGTGCAGACCTACACACTGCTCCTCAAGCCATGCTGTGGTGGTGTCCCACATACAAAATAGAGGAAGATTGTCACAGATGTTTGCTCAGTGACAGTCTTTCTTGCCAAAACAAACAAACAAATTAACAAACAAGAGAATGAGATGTTTGAAAAAATTTTGTTGTAAAATTTCAAGAATGAATAAACTTAATCAAATATAAGTGCTTTAGGCAAAATGTAATAATTCAGATATTATAAACAGATTCCAGCCAATTTTGAGTGTTTAGGAATTATTGCTAAAGCTTGATTTCCTTGATGACCTTAAGACACGTCTGTGCAAAGACATTAACGTCAATATGTAGAAATAAGACAGCTGTTTTAAAAAGGGCTAGAAGCCGGGCTTAAACAGGGCCTGTGAAAACCGAATAAACATATTGTGCTCTAGTCATATACAACAAAAATGTTTATTTCACAGTGAGTGGAAATTTTAGAGCTAGAGAAGAAAACTTACTGTTGGTATTTTTCATAAATAGGATTAAATAATAAAATTCAAGATAAGGTAATTGATGATTTGGCAAGTTAACAGAATGTGTGTATCTGGTGCCATGGGCTCCCCCATGGTACATCACCCCCAACCACTGCCATAGTGAAAACTCTTAGAGATGGGAGTATGTCTTCTCCCTCTACTGTCTGGGACCAAAGAAAGGTTAAGAAGCATTAGGTTTGCATAACCTGCTTGTTTGATTTCCATATTTAATGCTTTAGTGTAGAGTGGGCTGATCTGCAGATGAATTCTTCCCATATTTTGTCTATTACATAAATTTAAGGTCTATACTGCCTTCTATTTCTCAGAACATTTCAAGAAGTTCAGAAATTTAAGAACAGAAATGACCAAATAAAACAGACCATCTGCAGAAAAGAGGCAGGTTATTTTCAGGTCCTTGAGTCAAGCAGAGCTCAGTGCTAAATAAATTTCAGGAATTCCTTCCAAAGTCTATTTTATCTTTTAAGGTCTAGCTCAAATACCCCCTCTTCCCTGAAGCTCCTGATCAGAATTAATCTCTCTTCCTGGTGTTGCTACAGTTCACTGCAGAACTTCTATTTAAAATTCAGTTTGTTCCTCATATCTGACTCTTCCACAAGGCTGTGAACTCCTAAGGGGCAGCCTCCTACTCTTGTTTTTACCTCTCTTGCATCACCTTGCGCAGTACCTGATGCACAGTTGCTTATCGGTAAATTTTTAATGAACGCACTAAAGGCAAAAAGGAAAATATTTTGGATTATATATGGTTTTTAAGTCAAAATTTAAAATATATCTATAGAGGCAGGTACAAGAAAAGTTCAGGAAAGAAGAACTGTAGAGGGGCCATTAAGTGAAATAAGAGGTATCTTTCATCATGATTTTGCAAAAGTTGAACAATGTTCAATTGGGAATGTAGTGAGGAGAAAACTTCTTTATAAAGTTAGAAGACGAAACATTCAGTCATGGCTCAGTGAAGCTGGGTGACATCAAGCTGTGTGACATCAAGCTGACACGATCAGGGAACTTTGCTTTATCCCCAGTCTAGTATATCCAATTTCTCTGTCTCCAGCCCAGATGTCTTCCCAGGGTTTAAACTGCCACATCACTCCCCTACTTAAAGCTCTTCAGCTGTTGCTTACTACTTATAAGATGAAGTTCAGGCTCCTTTACAGAGGGAACCAGCTAGCTCCTCAGCCCTTTATTCTTCCTTGAGTACCACCAGAGGAAGGTCAAGGAGACCCAAGTCCCAGCCTCTTGGCCCACCATTGCTCACCTCAAGATGTAGGGCTTCACAGTCTGAACTGTATGCTGTCACTTGCACACTTCATGCTTTTGCTCTTTCCTTTCTCCGGTAAACTGGGGAGACCCTCATACCTACTCATGTAATTCCCATTCCTCTTTTCAATCTTAGTGCATGCTTTCCTTCCTCCCAGAAGCTTCCCTTGACTCCTTCATGCTGCTTCTACATGTTACTCTATAATTCCCTGGGTAGGTGTTTATCTTTGTATTATATTTTTTTATATATGGTCTTCTGCATTACTCTGTATACTTCTTGAGGTCAGGGACTATGCGTCTCATTTGTCTTTGCATGCCTCGCATAGTGCTTGGCAGATGAGTAGGAATGAATGAATTGCCCAC